CTGCCCATACTATTGGATCAATTTTTGGTTGAATCAGTGTTCAGTGCTTACAGTTTTCTGACCGTATAAACTCTTTTTACAGCTGAGCCGTGAAATATGTTATGATTACTTTTCCTTTCCTGCACACCTTATTATTTGCTTTGTTTTCTAGAAGCTTATCTCCAAACTCTCACCCAAACTCTCTTCTCAATACGTTAACAAATGAGGTGTTCAATTTAGCCTTGAATGAGTCCATCCTGAAGCTTTCTGAGCTGCTCTTGTCTGTATTGGTTGATCTCTGAGACTGTAGCAGAGCTGTACTGAAATACGTCCCCACTCATACTGCGGGCATTCCCTCCACTCTCTCTGTTAATGTGGAGCCCCCTTTCTTATATGCTACATTTTCTCTTTTCCTTAGTTTGTTCCCATATTTTTGGTGGAGCACAAAGTTCAGGAGCTAATTTTATGAAATTAAATACATGTCTGAAAAGATATTCGTTCTACTACATACTTGAATGACAGTTTCTAGTTGGAAATAATTTTTCCTCAGAATTCTTAAGGCATTGCAACATTGTTTTAAAGCTTCCAGAGTTGCTATTGAGAAGTCCAAGGCTACTTACCGATCTGATTTTTGAATGTTTGTGTGCAACCTGTGCCGACCTTCCCCAGCAGAAGCTTTAGTTCTCTTTGTCACCAATATTTCTATAATTACCTTTTTTAGTTCCACTGACACGCTGGACAGATGCCCAGGTCTCATTCCAGTTTCCAAATAGTGGTTGCGACCATAGAGAGTGAGCATGAACTTAAACCTGGGATTCTTTTTTAAAAATAGCTTTTTTTATACCAAAAAAATCATATGTATTAATAGATCTATATATATAGCATATATATGTTGTTACATGACTGTATACATTTGCCAAAACTCATAGAACTATAAAAAACATAAATATATATTTCACGATTTCCTCTCCTGTCAATGGGTATTTGGGCTGTTTCCAGGTTTTCCCTGGGCACAGTGCTGTGAGGATCATTCTTGTACGTATCTCCTGGTGTACATGGACAAGAGTCCATATCTCATGGTATACATGGACATGAGTATCTCTGGAACATATACTGAAGAGTGGAATTGCTGGGTCATGGCATGAAACTACAAGTTTACAAAAAAGGCCATACTGTTTCTCAAAGAACAAATGAAAGTAGATAAATAGGAACAATTAAAATTAAGATTAAACATCTGTAAATATTACTCAAGGCTTCATTTATGTTATCTTCATCTGACATAATCGTTGACTTATTCTCTATATAGTTAAATTCTATACTCCAAGTTTCATTTAAGATTCACTTCCCCCATGTAGCCTTTTCTATGTGACCTATTCTACAATGTTTTTCCCTGTTGAATTTTCTCAGTAAATGTATAAGCTATACTATCCCATAATTTCATTGCTTTTACAGTACCTTGCAATTAGTCTCTATGTCACTGTTACATACATTTTCATCCTAACATGAGCTGTAATTTTAAAAACTTGAATAACATGTCTCAGCTTCATCATATTAATAGCTACTCCTCAGTTAAAAACTGGCAAAGGAGAGTATAATTTTATGTATATAGAGGAAATTAAACATAGAAGGACATGTGTAATTATTAACTGTACATAGTAGAAAAGACCTGTACATACTTAGAGATGCAGTAAGATTCCCTTGAAATTTTTATTAAGCATTTGGTTATGTCTAAGTTATGGTGCAGAAACCTAATTCAGAACCCTGCCAACAATCAGAGATCCCTGAAAATCCAGTGTTTTTTTTTCCCCATAAGGGAGTTCATTTACACAGATGGACTGAACTTTCCATCTGGTTTTGTTTCCCCCTTTGCTTTGGTTGGTGGGAAGCTTGAAAGTGAATTTCTGGCCCATCTTTGGTAATTCTGGTATGTACTTTTGTGTATGAACTTTACTCTTCCTTCTATCTGTTAAGTTTTCTTGTACATATACTTGGTAACTCACCTCAAATTGTTTCTGGAACACAGTGAAATATAAGTAACTGACCAAATAAATACATGAATACATGAATCAATATACAAAAAATGGTGACTTGAATTAGATCAAATGCACCCATAGGTTACGGTATGGATGCTCACGTCTGCGCTTCCCACCGTCCTCTTCCCTGATGTTCACCTAGCAGGGTACTTCTTCCTGTATCTGAGGTTTGTAAACTGTGTTGCCTTGAGGGGCAGCCTGAGTGGTGGACATGCTGCATCTGCTTCCCTTTGCCCTGACCACCAGGACAGTCCCTATTGTACTTGGCATCTAGACTTTATTTAAAGAGAGGGTTTTGATGCAAAAGAGTGCAAACTTGTCTATATACTATACATTCAATACGCACACATCAGCTGAGTGTATTCACCTATCGTTTTATTGTGTGCGTCTCATATCTTCACATATTCCTACAGTCCAGAGTTGAGGTATGTTATGGGCAACCATCAGGTCTCTAGCTCTGCTTCTCTGAGAGCATCTCTGAATAGAAGACTGTTTGAACGTTACCATAAAATACATTTAAACCTGAGAAGTATTTTATAGGATGAAGAAGAGAGATGACTATTTACCTAAGTCATATTGAGGAAGTCATAAGTACAGGAACTAGTAAATCACTAATTCATTTTGCCATTAGAAAGTAAATATAACTTGTGATTTAATGCCCACTTGCTTGCAACTTTTTAAGTGTATCAAGCCACAAAGAAGGAAACCAGTCCTTTGGCTTCTGTGTACTTGGATATATGTTGCATGTGCTACTCACATGGCAGAAGCCTGAACATCTTGCTAGTCGTTGAGTTCCAGGATCCATTCTGGTTGCTTCTCCAAAATGAGGTAGGGGGTGTCCCATATGTATGGATACAAACATTCCCATTGCCTTATTTTATCTCTCAATAGCTTCTTCCTATTGAGAAAACAGTCACACTTTACTGTGTTTAGTTGTGTATACTTCTGTTAGACTGGGTTATCTATCAGGACTGTGCGTTATTTCTCTTTGCATCCCTAGCATCTAGGATATGCTTGGCACACCATAAAACAACAATTAGATGGGAACCAGAATACATGAGGTCAGGTCTCACAAGTCCCCTGCTCTACCAGTTACTGTATGTTTAATTATTCAGTCAACAAGTATTTGGGAGCTTTCTACATATGAGGCGTTATATCATGCACTGGTCAAACAACTTCTGGAATGGGCTGTAACACAGTAAAGAGCCAAACCTAATAGGACTGAGCAGGAATCACAGGCCTTAGCGGACAAGTCTTCTCAGGGGATATCTACTTTCCCCTCAAAAAGAATAACTTGTGAAGCCCAAAACTTTGTGCTACCCCTTTACTCTGGGGTCAGGAAAGAAAGGAGAGAAGGCACATGACACACCCAGGGCCCGCACTCACACTCAACAGAAAACTATAAATAACCAAATAATAAGCTTTAATTTGAATATGTTACAGTGGAATATAATAATTCTTTTAAAGTACAAAAATAATTAAAAAATTTTTTTCCATTTGCAAGTAATATCTGCTACAGATTATGAAGAGTACACTGATGCTATGAACTGTACACATTACACTACATCCTAAGCCTGGACCTCCCCCTCTCCATGCAACACTACTCTGCAATCTTGAGGCCCACCAAGATGTTTCAGAAGTAGCTATCCTTAGTAACAGAATTGGATAGTATCTCTCTTACACTAGTCTTTATGGTTTTTTTGTCTCAATTCTACAGATTAAAAACTTTTTAAAAAGTTAATCTAAAATTCTGGGAATTGCTCTTTTTGGAATATCTTTTTTTTTTCCAAAAGACAGGAAAATGGCAGGGAGAAGCTAGAGTGTTAAGCTCAACAAGAACTCATTTAAAAGTAAATCACCATCAGTGGAAAAGTTTTCCAAGTATAGGAAATTTGAAAATAATAGCAATTAACTGGAAGACAAATTTCATTGCAAAGAACCACTGAAAAGTTTCATGTGTCTTTTTCTAATATTATGTTTCCTAATACTTTAAGTGAGGTAACGATCACAAGGATTCCAAAGATTATAGCAGGTTCTGTCCAGATCTGACCCACCTTGTAACTTAGATACTGAGAACCAATTCTTGAAAAAACAGAAACAACATAATAAGGAACAGAAGCTTTGGCATATGAAAAATGATATAACTTTGTTTTATAAAATTCAGTTTTTCAGGTCAGTTTATTTATTTATTTTTTGCGGTACGTGGGCCTCTCACTGTTGCGGCCTCTCCCGTTGCAGAGCACAGGCTCTGGACGCGCAGGCTCAGCGGCCATGGCTCACGGGCCCAGCCGCTCCGCGGCATGTGGGATCTTCCCGGACCGGGGCACGAACCCATATCCTCTGCATCGGCAGGCGGACTCTCAACCACTGCACCACCAGGGAAGCCCCATGTCAGTTTATTTTGATTTGTGCTCTGAACTGATTAGATCTGGGTCTAAATAAAAGACTGGAAAACTGGTCATCTTCCTGAGCAGAGCTGGAAGAACCCCTTGCAACTGTCCAGAAGGCAAAGGCTCTCTGCCATCACAGACCTTCTTTCCTTAGCTGCTCCGACTCCTGCCATGTTCCCATCTCCATTCTATATATGAATTCTTCATCCACAGTGGATGCTGGGGGTATAGGTGGGAAAACTGACACTATTCTTCTTTAGTGCTTCAAGGAATTATGAGTTTCAGTTCCCAGGCTGGATAGGGATGGCTCTGCACTTTCTATACCTGTAATACTTGTACCTTAAACTAACAGAAAAAAATTATGTAATATAGAAACAAAGGTAATCTGGTACATAAAACATGTAGGTCTATCTTCTGAAAATAGGTCGTGAGCCTAAAAATGCTCAGTTGTGTAATGGGTTTATATTGCGAGAGCTCGGAAACATTGGGCTAGGATACGACTTAGGACAGAGTCCAGCCGTTAGGAAATCCCTCAAAGGGCTCTACACGATCCATATTCTATTAACATTACATTAAGAAATAAAATAATCTTTGTAGCCCTACTTTCAAAACTTGATGTTTATTCAGCAGGATATATGAAGAAAAACCTAACCTGTAATGTTACCTAAATTACAGTGGGGAAGTGCCTGATGAGATTTTTATACTGTTTCTTGAATATCTTCAAATGTACCACACAGATTTTTTTCATAGTACTTACCTTTAAAAAAACTGCAATATTCAGGTTACTCCACTGCAACTGTGTTATTATCATCAAGAATTCAACTACTGAAAGAGTAATCCCATAAGCCTATTATCTATTAATGACTGAACAGTCTGATAAAGGATCTTACTGCCATTCTTAGAATCATGTAGCTATTTATAACCTCTGCTCTCCCAAGATTCAGAGCTGCACTATTAAACTTTTTATGGAATTTCCCAGTAAAACAGGATAATGTACATAGATGGCTAAAATTAAGATGACAGAATGATGGTGACCTTTGAGCATTAAAGGCATTTGTTATTGCAGCTTGGAGAAAATGCCATGGAATGCTAATATGTAAAAAAAGTTATGCCATTCTCCTTCAAGTCAGTAAATCACATAAGAGGACTCTGAGTAGTTTTAGAAGAAAGGCACCAGACAAGTCCAAAGTCTTATTGGTCGTCGGATCATACAGGAGCCACAGCACAAATTATGGCTCTTAGTTCAGCCAGGAGGCTCGGTCTAAGCAAGCCAGTCACTGATCTTGAGGCTCGAAGAGCAAGGAAGGAAGTGTCAGTAAAACAGAGCCCCGCATCTTACGTAAACTTGAGGAGAATGATTTCTAATTTTATGTCAACGTGGTGACTGGCTCCTTAGGACTCCAGAGCTAGTTTAGACAGGCACTCTGTTTTCTTTGGCCCATTTCTTCATGATCCGGATGATATACTCTACTTGGGTGTTACCCGTGCTTCTCAGTAAATGGAGCACTTCTCGAAGGGTCTCTCTGAGGAAAAGATTTGAAAGCACAAATTGTTTCAGTAAAGAATGCAAATTAACAAGTAAAATAAACTTGTGACTGTTCTTCATATGCTTCTGATATGTGTATACGGTGCATTCAAAAACCAATTACAAACTTCCTAGCCTTCTATTCTTTTGAGGCCATAGTAAAATGGAAATTCTGTGAAATCCTTCTCACCAATCCAAGTTTTCCTTGTTTACTTCTACTATCTATATATATGCTATTTTTTGTCTTAATATGGCATAAATATTTCCATTTCTATGCTTATTCTGCATGACAGAGTAGAAAGTTATATCAAGGAGCTGGGTTCAAAGAGTTGGGTTCAAATTCTAGCTCTGTGCTAACAAGTGACGTAACTTGTCTGAGCCCCAGATTTCTCCTTTGTTTAAGGTGGTAATCACCTGAAACTGGGTGTCATTGCCATATCTGTAAAATTTTACAAAGCCAGGCATAGATTATTTCTTCAAGAAAAATAATATATTAATAAATATGGAAGAGAGGAAAGTTAATGACCAAGATTTGGCAAATGTCAGTATTTATATTTTAAGTAACTTAAATTTAATTAAAATTTAAACTCATGCTTTAAGTAATGCAGACTAAAACTTCCCTATTACCTCATCAAATCTATAGATGACTGTCGATTGACCCTCTTCCCTAAGAGTTCTCTCATGTTTTCTACGTTTTCCCTCAAGTATCTTCTTTCAACTACCCAAATTCTTTTCAACTTTTATTTAGGAGTGGAAGTAGATACAAGGCAGGAAGTAATTTTTGATAGATTATTTACTTATAAAATAGTCATGGGAATTCCCTGATGGTCCAGTGGTTAGGACTCAGCACTTTCACTGCTGGGGCCCAGGTTCAATCCCTGGTCGGGGGAACTAAGGTGCCACAAGCTGCGTGGAGCGGCCAAAAAAAAAAAAAGAGTCGCATCTTCTGTTTTTACATCAGTAACAAATACATTCCACAAAGTTATTTTCAGAAAACTGAATTTAGTTTTAAGTAGTTTAACTTTAACAAATGGAGCTATACGCCACTTAATTTTATGTAGACTTAATGTCTCAGTATTTCCTGGAATATGAGAAGGCAAAAGAAAAAAAAAGAGTTATTAACCACACTCACTCCATTTCTAATTCTTTGAGGACTAAACTAAGAGACACAAGAAAAAAGCCAAAAGGCAAAGAAAAGAGAAGAAGAGATTGAAAAAGGCATTGTATGAAAATGACATTTCATTTGGAGCCAAATATATATCTTGCTCTTATACTTGAGAGCTGTAGTATACTCAATGTCCCCATTATACATAGTTTAGAATGATCTGATTCTATAAAATAAAAATTCTGGAGGAAAAAGGTCAGATAGAAATATAAAACTTAACCTTTTATTCATCAAAATAATTTTTAGTGTTCAGAAGACATGATCCAAGAAAGCAATTCTCATCCCCCAGGAACCAGCAAATGCATAGAGGTAGTGTCTATTGTCTGTCTACTTACTTGGGTTCTCTCCCAGCTAAGATCATCTGGAATATGCCTACACAGGCCCCCCTCTTGCCTTCCCAATATTCAGGGTTGGGATCCAGCCTCTCTAAGACATCAAATGCTTTGGCTGAATAGTAAAACTGGCCCATCTGAATAAAAGAAAGTACTGTGGTAATACTTGTAGTCAAAAGATCACACAGAATGAAACTAAATGTAAAGATACCATGAAACATAATTTCATAAAACAAGTGCATGGGTAATGACAACACTTGCAATTAGCAAATTAGATAAATTTCAATTCCTTATTAAAACAAGAAGGAAAATCACAGTTTGTGTACATGAGTTCAGTTTAAACCCCCTTCCCTTCATTAAGTTTTCAACAATAAAACATTTCTTCTACATATAGTCAAGTTACACTGTAATCAACATATTTGTCATTTCTTCTAATCATATTCTAATCTTGAGGATAAACTCTGATGACTGTGATTTGAACTGGTTATTTTTCAAGTTTCCTCAATACATTCTGTAGATGACTACTATCATTCATTTTACGCTAATATGATCCTATTCAACCCAAGAGGATGGTCTTTCCCTTACCTTGTCCCTAAAGTCTCAGAATGCCCAGATGTACACTGACTCCTACTCTAAACAGCAAGTCTTTTAAACATTTAATTCATTTTGACAAACTTCTTTCCCAAATATACTACACATTTCCTTGGCCTTGTAGAGTATGCTGACTATCATTAAATTTTGCTTAGATGAGGTTTCCTGATTGGCAATCATAAATGTATAGTGTTCACTGAAGTCTTTAAATTGCTTGGCAATCCTCCTTACTCAGTGCGGTTTCGTTACCTTTCCTTTCCTGTGAACTGTTGTTTTACGCCTTTGCCAATTTCCTAAGATCTCTACTGCATCTTAGCTTAGCTTTCTTCTATACTTCATAGGGAAGACACAACTCTCCTTCCTTCAGTTCAAATTATTCTTGTACCTTCATTACTCCTTCCCTCTTTTCTGCATATCTCTCAGAAAGAAGTGTTCTTATTCCTTTTCAAGGTTAATCCTTCTTCCTATAAATTTGTCTCCTAAAATTTTTTTCTTTGGTAAAGAAACACACCAAATGGTGTGGGAAACATACATGTACAGTTTAATGACTATAATGTCAATATAAGTGTAACTACCACCCAGGTCAAGAAATGAAACATTGACAGCAAAACAGAAGCTCTGTGTGTCACGTCCACACTACAACCCTCTCTTTCCCTATTTTCGGTAACTAGTAGTCTGACTTTTATGGTCATCAGTTCTTTGACCTTCTTTATAGTTTTATCAGCTATGTAAACATCTTTAGACAATATAATTGAGTGTTGCCTCTTAGTATGTTAGCTATATGAAATAAAGCTGTAAATATTCTTTTGTGTCTTGTATATGTTTTTACAATTCATCTATATTGCTGGATAGAGTTCTAGTTGGTTCATTTTTTAAAGTCTTTTTATTTTAAAATAATTATAAATTTACAGGAAGTCACAAAGATAGTACAGAGTGGTCCCATGTCCCTTTCAACCAATTTCCCCCATTATAGCTTATACAACTATAGTACAATATCACAATATCAAACCCAGAAAACTGACATCACTACAATGTGTATGTACAGTTCTGTCATTTAATCAAATGTGTAGGTTCATGTAACCACCACCCCTATCAAGATACAGATCTATTCCATCACCACAAAGCTGTACTCTCCTCCCAGCTGACCACCCCTAACCTCTGGCAATCACCAATTTTTTCTACATCTCTATAATTTCGTCATTTCAAGAATGTTATATATATGAAATCATACATCAGTTTTTTAAGATTGTGGTCTACGTTATTCTCATTGAATCTGCTTCCTAATCCAATCCTCTTCTGTACCTAGCAGTGCTTTCTCAGGCCTCTTGCAATTCTATCTAGTTGCAGATTTGACATTTTCCTTCCTTGGCATTTGATAAAATAGGAACAAGAAGAAGAGTAATAAAAAACACTTTTTTTTTCTCTCTCCTGGTTCTTTTCTTTTCCTTCTGTTCATCTTCATCCTCTGTCTCTTTCACTGACTCTTCTTTCTATTTCTATCCCTTAAATAGTAGTGTTCCATGTGGTTCCTCACCCCATTCACTGGTTAATCTCATTCTCTCCCATACTCCACTGCTACTACTGCTACTGCTACTGCTACTACCACCACCACCATTAACTACTGTTAACTTCTAAAGCTACATCTCTAGTCCGAGCCTCTCACATGAATACCTGAGCTCCAGGCTCACCCTGATAATTTCACACATGTAATATCTCTACCTGGGAGCCCCAAACACAGATTTAATACATCTAAAATTGAACTAAATTCCTGTCTTTTATGTTTTATTTTCCTCTGCCTTCCCTAACTCACTTAATATCATTGCCATCCACCAAGTTCTATTAAACATTTTCAAGTTTCCTATGTTTTAAATCCTTTTCCACTGATGGTGATTCACTTTATAATGTAATGATTCACTTTGCAATGAGATATTATTGATTAATTTGATACTAGACTCTCTTTACCTGACGTTTTCCTGTCTTTTGGACAGGAAGAAATATTCCCAAAATAGGAGTTTCCAGAATTTGAGGCTAACTTTTTAAAAAGCTTTTAATGTATAGGATAAGGCCCCAAACTCCTCCCTCTTCCCTGCCTTTCCAACTCCCTACACACACATACACACACACACACACACACACACACACACACACACACAGTTCGTCCTTTATTAAATCTGACTGCTTTTTTATTCTCTTTTTCTGATTCCTTTGTCTTTCCTGTCCACTATTTGCACCATGGTTTTCCCAAAGGTTTGGTTTGCAACTCTCTTACTCTTCTTACTTTACTCCCTTATCGGTAATCTCACTTTTTTCAGGGTTTCAATTACTATTGAAGTGGTGATGATTTCTCCAGATTTGTCTCTCGATGTCAGAGGACATCATTCTTGAGATTCAGAATGAAACTTCCAATTACCAGATGAATATCTCTATCTGCATGGTACCTAAAGATTCATAGCCTTTAGAAATCTAAAACCTCCTCTCTAAACCACTATTTCATACACATTCTTTCATATTTCATTTATACGTATACATGTTTTATGTACATATAAAACCCTGAAATGCTGCCTATCTCTGAGTTCAGTTCATTCATAAAAGGGATGACATTTCTGATATCACGATGCGAATCCTCTCACCTATAGCCATTTAATCTCTAGGACACTTTCCCCTAATATTTAGTCAATGCAGCAATGTGATACTGATCGTCACTTTCCCCTTAGGTCTCACTCAGACGCACCTTGTAGCAGTCATTAGCAATGAGCTGTAAGAGGCTAAAGGACTCGCCAGAGGTTTCCATCTTGAGATAAAGTTCCCAGGCTAGTCTTGGTTTCTTATTCATAATGTCTACAAAGAGAAACAAAGATTTATGCTTTTTAAGTGTACAAGAAATACACTTCTGCATCTTGCTAGTCTATGGATTTGGTTCTATGTTACAAATATACAAAGTAATGGTAAGCAACCCTTACATGGGAAAGCTTACACTGTCGGCATTAAGCTGGTTTTCCCGTCAGAACTCTACCATAATTAAAATACTTAAGTTAGGCTTTACATAGTTACATCTTTTTAGATTGGGTTGACTTCCAGTAGTTCCTACTTTGCTCATCTGCTGAAAAGTCATCTATCATTCATTCAATCCCACTCATACAGTTCCAGCCTCACTTAGAAATCTAATTGCTAAAATTTTCCCATGACTTCAAAAACTCAGTGAACATTTTAAAACCAAGTGAAAAAAAAGGAGCAAGAGAGAGACAGACAGACAGAGACGATAGGCTATATAGTACACACAAATTATGTTTTTGACATTTTATCACTTTTCAGGCCTGCACCAAAGTGAAAAGGTAAAATTAGCATAACAATATCATTTAACAAAAAACAATGTAAACTCAGACTCTGGAAGCTTTACTAGGCTAAAGGAAGAACTTGGCATCTTTTAGGACTGTTTATGCTACGTCAATGTCATATGGTAGAACTATTCACAGGGTAAACATATATAACACATGTACGTGGCCATCCTTACTGAGTAGCATTAACAACACTTAATCTCAGAGTTTACTCATTCTACAAAACAAAATTAGAAAACACTCAATAAAAGCATTCCTCTATAACATTTAAAAGAAGACTCACAGCACCGAGCTAGCCAACTGAGGTAAATGTAGTCATTTTTCATCTTCTCACTTTGGATTAAAAGGAAAATCTGTAAGAGGAGGAAGAAGGGAATAAACATGAAGATGCTTTTACAATAAAAATATCCATAGCAGCTTGCCTTAGATTAATGAGCATTATAAATGACCAAATTCTATACAGGCCACTGAGAAAAGTAAAGGACAATTTTTGTGCTGATTTTAAAACACTTCTCTCAGTTATTGATATCACAAGGTAACATGAGGTTGGTGAGGATATAGAAGATTTGAACAGAATAATTAACAACTGCACATGCTACTGGGCAATAAAGCAAGTCTCAACAGATTTTAAAGGACTGGTGTTATACAGACCACACTCTATGACTACAATACAATTCAGTTAGAAATCAAAATAAAATAACCTGGAAAGGATAACATACACACTTGAAAATCATGAAACATGTTTTAGAATAACTCATCGTCAAAGATAATAAAAAGATCATTTCTAAACATAATGGAAACTAGAAAATACTTAGAATTTGAATAATAATGAGTTGAGTAATTTGTTGAATAATAACAAAATTGAATTAAATAATTCAATTGAATTATTTTGAATCATTCAGATAACCTATGGAGTTAGAAGTCAAGATAGTGGTTAGCCTTGTGGGAAAGAGACTGACTCAAAAAGGAGATGGGTGCATTCCCAGGGTTATGATAATATTCTGTTTCATGATCTGGGTACTGACTATTTGGGTATGTTCACTTTAAAAATTCATCAAGCTGTGTACTTTGATTTGTATACTTTTCTCCATGTATGTTATGTTTTTATAAAATTTATCCAAAAAAGGAAAACATGAATGTGGTTATAAAATCTATATATCTATTTATATTGTACTTTTTAATATAACCTAAGAACAACAGAACTTTTAATAATCCTTTACCCTTAAACTTTTTGAGAAAAAGATAACAATGTTTTTAGATAGAATTATTCAAACGCCTTCAAAAGCAGGTACCCACCTCTTCACCCTCGCTGGTATTGCCAGTTGCAGCTTTGGCTTGGGCATAATTAAAGTTAAAGATGTCATCATTATAGAAGTAACTCTGAAAAACATCCCAAGAACAGGTCACACTGAGCATTAACATATAAAATATGAAAACATCAGTCATACCAGGTAAACACAAAAATAATCTTAAGGAATTAGCTGATGCCACTACTACCACCACAGTAAAAGGGTGGTAGTAAAAGATACTCTAAAAGTATCTTATCTGTGACATACTATATACAGTATTTTGTATACAAAGTCATCTAGAAAATTCTACACTGACCTTAAACGAGTTGAGGTAAATCAAGACATCATCAAATTGCTTAAGCAGGAAGAAACAGGAAGCCATGCACTGCCTCCCTGGTATTGTATCTGAAATGGAATGGGAAAAGAAACCAGGTGTATTCATGAAACTAAAAGTTCTCTTTAGGGGCTTCCCTGGTGGCGCAGTAGTTAAGAATCCGTGTACCAATGCAGGAGACACGGGTTCGAGACCTGGTCCGGGAAGAGCCCACATGCCGTGGAGCAACCCATGCGCCACAACTACTGAGCCCGTGCTCTAGAGCTCATGCTCCATAACGAGAGAAGCCACTGTAATGAGAAGTCCGCGCACCACAACAAAGAGCAGCCCCCGCTCGCTGCAAGTAGAAAGCCTGTGCGCAGCAACAGAGACCCAACGCAGCCAAAAATAAATAAATTAATTAATTAAAAATAATAGTTTAATAATATTAAAAATAAAAGTTCTCTGGGCTTCCCTGGTGGCGCAGTGGTTGAGAGTCCGCCTGCCAATGCAGAGGACACGGGTTCGTGCCCCAGTCCGGGAAGATCCCACATGCCGCGGAGCGGCTGGGCCCGTGAGCCATAGCCGCTGGGCCTGCGCGTCCGGAGCCTGTGCTCCGCAGGGGGAGAGGCCACAGCAGTGAGAGGCCCACATACCGCAAAAAAAAAAAAGTTCTCTTTAGCTGAACTTTGAGTTATTTTATAATTTAGAGACAGGAATGTATTCCAAGACATCTTTCTAGATTCTGAAATTACAGATTCTGTTCAGTGGACAAAACCTCAGCATGATGGAGGTCACAGTACTCAAGAATGACCGATAATCTCTTTTGCGGTTAACAGAGTCCCACATGAGCACATGTTCTACAGGCTACAGTTTTCCCCAGATCTTTTCCAGGGCTTTGATTCTCTCACCCAACTCCAACACCTGCACACTCAACTAATGTGACTTAGTATCCATCATTACTCATCTAAGACAACCCAACACTTCTGGTCTCAAATGGAGAAATACTTTGCCATGGAACCATCTGATCCTGATCCTGACCAACTTTTTGTCCGATAACAGATGCGTATTTGAAGTGGCAGAGGATTAGGATAACGCCTGGTCCTCACCACTGCCACTCCCAATCCTCCTTCCTCTGCTCACGATTTTTCCCCCAAAACACTTAGCACAGATATACTATATAATCTATTTTTAAAAAATATTTATTTATTTATTTGGCTGTGCGCGGTCTTAGTTGCAGCATGCAGGCTCTTTTAGTTGCGGCATGCGGGATCTAGTTCCCTGACCAGGGATCCAACCCGGGCCCCCTGCATTGGGAGTGCAGAGTCTTAACCACTGGACCACCAGGGAAGTCCCCTATAATCTACTTATTATGTTTATAGTCTGTTCTCTCTAGACTGTACACTGCACAAGCATAGGGGGATTGGTTTGTTTTGTTTACTACTGTATCCCTAACACCACAATACACTTTTGTTGTACAAATGAATTGAAATGGGGAAAGAAAATATTATCCAACAAATAGTTTTGGTGAAACATTTGAAAGAAAATGAATATCCAGGGGTGATTAGAATATTTAACAATCAGTTCAGCATGAACACTGTTCATCAGAATAGATGCCAGCCATGGACAACTGGTACAGACAGCCATATTGGTTCACACTGGCTAACTATCAGCCCTTTTTAGATCCCTTTCTCAAATCTTACACTGAATCTTCAGTGATGAGATTGATAGTTTAATAATAAAAATGAAGCCACAAAACTACTGGTGGGAAATATAGGTGAATATTATATAACTTCAGGGATAAAAAAGCATTTTCTAAGCTTGATACCCATGTAAGAAATCATTATAGAAAAGATAAATAAGATATGTTTTTATATGGGAAAAAAATACCATAGGCAAAGTTAAAAGCAAATGACCTACTGGAAAAATATCTACAGCATGACAAAAGTTTTATATATAAAGAGCTCTTGAGAAATCAATAAAAGTTAACATTTCAAATAAAAAACAGAATCAAATTTTTAAATCTCTTATGAACTAGAGAATATACTTATTCTCCTCTATTTATATATCCTCTCCTCCCATTTTAGCTGAGATGTTAAGAAGGGCTAATTCAATATTCTCTCCTGTGTCTGAGTTTCTACTTTATAATGGGAAGCCTAACAGATATATCCCTGGACAGAGAATCAAACTTCACCAGTCAGTATATGACCAACTCCAGTTATAAATCATGCTCACAAGTACAGATTCAGACATACCACATTCACTAGCTGATCCTCCCACCAACTGGAAGAACTGCTGGGCAATTTTCATATGATCCTTCTGAAAAACAAAGCAGAGCTGATACAGAAGAATAAGCTGAAAATACATTACTTGTATTACTTTGTGGTTTTAACATATTTGTCAGGATTTAACATATACCCTTGTTATAAATCCTCCCCAAATCAATCGTACTAATTCTTATTAGCATAAACAACTAGAAAATAATATGCAATTGAATTAAAACCTATTTAGGGTAGATAGAAAAGAATAAAAAAATCCAATCCCCAAATTCTATCTTAAAAGTATCTTCATTGGGCTTCCCTGGTGGTGCAGTGGTTGAGAGTCTGCCTGCCGATGCAGGGGACACGGGTTCGTGCCCCGGTCCGGGAAGATTCCACGTGCCGCGGAGCGGCTGCACCCCTGAGCCATGGCCGCTGAGCCTGTGCGTCCGGAGCCTGTGCTCCGCAACGGGAGAGGCCACAACAGTGAGAGGCCCGTGTAACACAAAAAACAAACAACAACAACAAAAAAAAGTATCTTCATTAAATGAACTCATTCATTCATTTAACAAATATTTATTGCTCTTTTATCATATATCAGACCTTGTGGTAGGAGCTATGGCTATAACAAGGAGTATTTATTAAATAAAATCATTAATTTATTCAATAGCTTTTTTTTTTTTTTTTTTTTTGCGGTACGCGGGCCTCCCACTGTTGTGGCCTCTCCCGTTGCGGAGCACAGGCTCCGGACGCGCAGGCTCAGCGGCCATGGCTCACGGGCCTAGCCGCTCCGCGGCACGTGGGATCTTCCTGGACCGGGGCACGAACCCGTGTCCCCTGCATCGGCAGGCGGACTCGCAACCACTGCACCACCAGGGAAGCCCTCAATAGCTATTTATTGCCTATCTACTACATGAAGCACTTTGGAGTGAGCTGGAGATAAAAAGATTTATTTATATTACACTTTGTTCCAAAAAGAACTTACTATGCTATATTCAGAGGAATAAAAGCTTAATTTTAGTCAGCATTTTGGTACTTATAAAAAGCCTTTCCAGAGAAACAATTATTCCCATTTTACAAATGTCAAAATTAAAGCTCAGAGGTATGCAAGGTTAAAAAAAAGTCAGTGAAGGGACTTCCCTGGTAGTGCAGTGGTTAAGAATCCATCTGCCAATGCAGGGGACATGGGTTCGATCCCTGGTCTGGGAAGGGATTCGCAGAACAGCTGAGCCCATGCGCCACAACTACTGAGCCTGTGCTCTAGAGCCTGCACACCGCAACTACTCAGCCTGTGAGCTGCAACTACTCAGCCTGTGAGCTGCAACTACTGAGCCCATGCACCGCAACTACTTAAGCCTGCCCACCTAGAGCCTGCGCTCTGCAACAAGAGAAGCCACCGCAATGAGAAGCCCGCACATGCCACAAAGAGTAGTCCCCGCTTGCTGCAACTAGAGAAAGCCTGCACACAGCAGCAAAGACCCAACGCAGCCAAACAAATAAAAATTTAAAAAGTCAGTGAAAATAAGAATGAATTTTTGCGATGATTTGCTCTTGTTATTATATGTACACACTGTTTAACAATTGGGCTTTTTTTTTTTTTAAACCAAAGCAGCAATTCTTAGGGTTGTAGCTTTCTTTTTTTTCTTTATTTTTTTATTTCATTTTATTTTTTTGGCCATGCTGTGCGGCTTGCAGGACCTTAGTTCCCCAACCAGGGCTTGAACCCGGGTCTCTGGCAGTGAGAGCGCCAAGTCCTAACCACCGGACCACCAGGGAATTCCCCTTTTTTTGTCTTCAAATAACACAGAATTCTTTTCACAATGGAATCTGGACTGGGGGATATGGAGAAATAAAAGGAACTGCAAAAGAGCCTATTTGTAAGCTTATTGCTGTTGAAATTTGATGTTCATTTTGATCTTTTCCACACACATAACTTTGCAAGATACAGATTACCAGTGATTTTATACTCACCGAACCCATTTCCTGGCCAAGGGCTGCATTGACCACTCCTTTGAGGATATACTCCTGGACACATGGAATATCACTAATTAATTTAAAAGGAATGTGCAACTATGAGATATCTTTCAAATAGATCATTTGCATCAATTTAATGCTTTATATATATTATCAAAAGTTACCCAAAGTCACTTTTCTCTGTTCTATCCCTGGTTTGAATGAAAGAATTAGCAGACTTTCATTTGTTTCCCAGGAAAGTATTAATATAACAGAATTCATCATATTTGTAAATTCTCAATCTTAAGCAGAAAAACTCAGTGGATACTCACAGGAGTTAAGTTTTATTTTTATTTCAATTCAGTGGAAAAAATTAACAATAAAATGTTTATGTAATAATTTTTACATCTTATCAGTCACTGCCATTCTCTGTGATGGCATCATATATATATTATCAATATTTTTCCCTTTCCAATGATATAATAACCTTCCTTTGTTAGTGATCCCTTACCTCAAAAGGAAAAAGTATCCTCTGATTCTCCTTTGTAAGGTATTCTTGCTTTTGGAGTCCTGAGGCCTCACCTGTATCCCCTTCAGACTTGGTTCTGTTCTTTAATAGATACTCCCCTTAGCTTTATCAATTTTTATGTGGGTACTATTTTTATTTAAGAGGGCTCATAAAAAGAACAGAACAAAAGATGCTGAAGTCTTTAATACACTGGAGAAATATACCTGTTTAGATCTAGAAACAGTTTTCAGTCAGTCTTTCACTCAGTGAGTGAGATGCCTACTATGTGCTTAGTATACATAGTGTTGGAGATGCAATACAGACACAATCCCTGACCGCAAGGAGCTAACAACCTAGCAGGGGACAAAGACATAGTACAGACAATCATACTGCTGACATAAGTTTCTGTATCTAGTTTCATCAGAATTCTAGATTTCAGTATTTTCAAACATCAACCCTTTTGAGGAGATGACCACATATACAGGAGTTTACAAATATCAAAAAGCCCAGGATATTCATTCTCATCTCAAAAGTCTCACATAAAAAAAAAAAAAAGTCTCACCTAACATTCCTAGATCAATATATACGATCTTTCCTGAGATTCTACAAGCAAGAATCGTCTCTAAGATGCCTTCTGAAATTCCACTTTCAACAGAACTTGGTTAGTAAAAATGCAACACATTCGCAATTACCTGAGGAGTAGTAGGTTCCAGATCCTTAATTAAGTTATAAGCTTCTTGTACATCATCTGAAATATAAGAAATAAGTAGCTATACTAATCTGTATCCTAGCAAACTCTTCTGAAACAGTCTCCCAAACGATAAGATCCTTCAAACATTCATGGGAAGTATGATTTGTATTTTTTGTCTCTTAACTCTCCATCAAGTTCAATGTTGAGTAGTAGATAATCAAGTATCTGTAGGAAACCCATATTAAGCCATGGAGCACCTAAAAGTTCAAGCCAAAAATAAGGAATGGGGAAGTATATGCCAATGGCATTGTAATTATATAAGGAAAACAACCATTTTTTTAAAAGATATATAAAGTATGTAGGAGTGAAATGACATGAAGTCTGGGATTCGCTTTAAAATATTTCAGCAACAAAAATGGGAGAGGGAGGACAAATGAAAAAAGACTGGCAATATCTAGAAGACTGTTGAATCTGGGATGCATATTTGGGTGTTCATTTTGGATGTTCATACTATTAACTTGTTTTGTTTATGTTTGAAAATTTTTAGAATAAAAATTAATTTATAAAATATATAAAGTGTTTCTTTAATTCTCGTCCAAAAGCATATTTCTTTGTGCTTATATATCAAATTAGAGAGAACTATTTGCAAGTTCATGTTCTTATGCTAATAAACACTTACATTTTCCTCGATGAGGAATATGTTGTCTGGTTGGTTTCTACCATGCACCTAAAAAGGCCCACACTGTTAGTCCGAGGTCCATGACAGAGTGCCAGCACCACTGCATGGTAACTCCTACCCTGTACTCACAACTGTTAGATAAAAGACTGTTTTAGGCATGTGTCTAACAATTTTATCCTTACTCAGGGGAAACAAATATCACGTTCTCTTTGCATCATACTATTTCTCATGAGAAGCTGGGGGTACAAATAAACAGAAAGGCAGACGATTAGAGCAAATAAAAAACAATTAATGATGAGAAAGAAAAGACTCAAGAAAATGTAGATGTACATTACACATAGGGGAACACAAGAAAAAGAAGAAACAAGGGAGGGGAAGGAAAAAAACAGAAAAACTGAAATAGAATGAATAGAGAACAAAGGGCAGAAAAATAAGAGGAAAAGAAAAGAACAGAATGAGTGAGAGATTGGAAGCAACAGAAGAGGAAAGAGAGAATAAAGAGAAAAGGCACAACAAATAAATACCAATAAATTTGTTCTGTCCTACGAACCTGTTGCAAACATATTTTTGGAAGTATTATGAATTGATTTTAAAGATTAAGCAAGTAGTTCAGTTAGAGATTAAATGTTCTAAAATATCTTAAATAGGCAAGACCAAGACACAGTTTTCTTACCTTGACGAAGGTAGTAAATCACTAAGTTTAGCCTAGCTTCAGGAATGACATCAACCAGGGGAGGCAAAACCTGCAAAGCCCCTTCACCTCCTCGGAAAACAACCTAAAGACAGAGAAACTCTGCATTATGGCAAAAACTATGAGTTCACTTATTGGTAGAAATGTGTAAGCAGCTGACACAACAGTTATTCTTTGAAGGGATGAATATATTTTTGAAGCCCTCTCTATAAACACATGACCCTGACCTAATTAAAACCATCCTAAATTATAAGAAATAGAATAAAGGCATAACCTTATTGCATACATTTCCTTCTCTCCTCGTAAGAACTGTAGAAAACTCTTAAAGTACCCAATAATTAATGAAACTTTTTTTCTAGACAGATATTCTCTATCAAAAACTCCATGAAGGAATTTATATACTCTTTCTGAGACCGTTGCCTCACCTCTAAATGGCATTAGTAATGTCTACCTTTCAGGGTTATCATGAGGATTAAATGAGTTAAAGTGGGCTAAATGTGTGGCTCATAGTAGGTAATATTTCATTTAGTTTTTCAGTAAATATTCATTAGCACTTACTATATGCTTGGTATTGTAATAGCAGGGCTACATCAGGAACAAGTCACTCCCCTGTCACTATATAGGCTATACTCAGGTGGGGAGAGACCCTCAAAGAGCAAACTTAAGTATGCTGTCGTATGATAATAAATGCTACACAGAATAGCTAAAACAAAAGCACCATTCATGAAAGGACAGTTTGGCATACTGTTCTGTACTCAGAGCCTAGCACAGTATCTGGCACACAGTTATTTCACAAATAAATATACAGAAATCAAGGCAATCAGGCACAAACTACCTAATCTCTTTTTTCTACATCAAAATATCCATATGGTCACCTTATTTGCTTCCTCCTTGTCTGAGATACTCCCTTCTCTTGCCAAGATTAATTCCTACATCTATCTTCTTTGATGTCATAACTTCTGACTCCATCTAGATCTTGTTTCTGCATTAATCAATCATTCTATTTCATTAATCCTGGTCCCATTTCTCAACTTCAAACATGCACAAAGGTTTCTGCTCTCTTGAAAAATCTTCCACTTGGTGCCACTGTTCCCTCTGGATAGCACCTTATTTTTCTCCTTTCTCTCAATGCCACACTTTAAAAGTATGTAGTTCCCTGCTTCAACTTTCTTCTCATCCTCTCACTCCTGAAGTTCCCAGAAAACTTGCTTCTGCTCTCTGCACACTAGTAAACTCACTCTACAAGTCACAAATTAACCCCTTTGGCCAAATTCAATGGACTATTCTGTCCTCTTGCTCCATGACATACCTGCAGTTTTGACACTGATGGAATAGCATGACAACAATAGCACTGTCTACTATATGCTTACTATATGCTGCATACTGCTTGAGGTACCTTATACACATTACCTCATTTCATCTTCACAAGGGAATAAGGTAGGTACTGTAATTTCCCCTATTCTACATATGAGAACATGGAGACTCATCAATGTTTTGTGACTTACCCAATGTTACAAAGCTAGTACATGGTATAACTTGATTTTGACCTCAGATCTGACTCCAAAAGTAGATGTTAATAACAACAATTTATATTGCTTAATATTTTTCAGGTTTTGTTTTAGACATTAAGGTAATCTGTATTCATTGGAAAAAACTTACATATACTATTAACAACAGGAAAAAGCAAAATTTCCATTTTTTCACTTTTCTCTTTAATCCCACCCTCCAAGAATAATTCCTATTGCTAGCTAATATGCATCTCCCCGTTATACATACATATAACAGTTCTTTATTCTGGCTGTATATTATGTCCACTTGGGAAACTTTTAAGAAAAGTACTCATGGCTGAACCCTAGCCAACCATTCAGTAAAAATCTCACCCATCATTATTTTAAAAAATCTCCCAGGTGATTAAAATATGTACCTGTAATGACATTACAGTTAGAAGCAACCTAAGTGTCCATCAACAGATGAATGGGCAAAGAAGATGTGGTCTATATATACAATGGAATATTACTCAGCCATAAAAAAGAACGAAACTTTGCCATTTGCAGCAACATGGATGGACTTGGAGGGCATTACGCTAAGTGAAATAAGTCAGACAAATAAAGACAAATACTGTATGATAACACCTATACGTGGAATCTAAAAAATGCAGCACACTAGCGAATATAACAAAAAAGAAGCAGACTCACAGATATTGAGAACAAACTAGTGGTTACCAGTGGAGGGTGGGGCAATATAGGGGTGGGAGAATGGGAGGTATAAACTACTGGGTGTAAGATAGGATACAAAGATGTATTGGTACAATGCAGAGAACATAGCCAACATTTTGTAATAACTGTAAATGGAGTGTAACCTTTAAAAATTGTATAAAAATCAGAAAAAAAATTTTTAAATGACATTACTGTTGACCCTTGACAATGGTGGAGTGGGTGGTTTACAGGCACTGACGATCCACACACTTGAGAATCCGAGTATGATTTATAGTCAGCCACCCACATCCATGGTTCCTCCACATCCGAGGATTCAACCAACCTCAGGCCGTGCAGTATTTACGACTGAAAAAATTCTGTGTATAAGTGGACTCATGCAGTTCAAACCCGTGTTGTAGAAGGGTCAACTGTACATTATCTAGGTGCTTTTTCTCGCCTGCCCTTTCTTGAGATATTTTCTTATCTTCCTTCTTCCAGCCACTTAAATACAAATGCTCTCCTGGAGCCATATTTTTCTCTGTTTTTAACCCTTTCTTCAACTATCACTACTCTTAAGAAAACTCTTAAACCTGTTCTCTGGTCTTAATCTCTTTCCAAGTTTAATTTCCAGACTACTACCTCTAACACACCATTTACCACAAAAATTAATCTGTCTTTAATTTGTAAACTAGACTAGAAGTGAAAAGATTAGAGGCAGAAGCTTATAATAAAAAATAACCACAGAAAACGCTATCTGTGATGGAGGCCTGAATTAGAGGAGGAATGAAATGAATATAAGACAATACCAACAAAGAATTAATAGGATTAAGTGACTGAGTAGCTATCAGAGATAAAGGGGAAGAGAAGTCTAAAACAACTATAGTTTTCAGCATTCATACTCAGAGACTTGGTGCCAAAGAAGGTACAGAGAAATCAGAAGGAAAAGTAGTAGTCATTATTATTGCCATTTTCAGATGAGGAATCTGAAACTCAACAATATTAAATAATTTTCTCAATGTCCCGGGTGTCTGAGTTGAATGCAGCTGCTTTGCACCCACTCTACTGCATAGTCAATGGAATCAAACTTGAAACTTCATCTGAATGTTTTTTTTTTAGCAATGGCCATCATAATCCAGTCCTAAACCTAACCCCCTTTCTACTTTTTCACTAAGTAGAACTTTAATTTTTCACTGTGCCCCAGTACAAACTTTCTGTTCTAGTAAATTCAAACGGCTCACAACCTATCACATATGTCTTCTTCATTCATTCATCCATGTCCCTGCCACAAATGAACCCTATAAATCCCAGCCATCTTCCAAAGACCAGCTCAAGTTTTACTTTCATCAGAATATCCTTCCCATTTATTATAACCCAAAGGGATATGTTCCTTTGTCTTTGCCAACAAAATGAACACGTGGATCTCACTGCCTTACACTTCTTTCTAAATGTTAAGTATGTATTACTGCCCCCCCAATAAGGATTTGCTTGAGGAAAAAACCTGATATCTTAAACTCATTCTCTCTCCTCCATAGCAAGAAAGAGTTTACTTAAAGTAGAGAAATACTTGTTGAGATAACTCCCTTCATTCATCTTTCTAACCACTGTGATGTACCAAAATAGGGTAGGCCTCAAGTCAGTCAAGACTGCAAACTATTATTCACCAGATTGTGCCTGATGAGCTCTTTAGCAAATTCAAAGGAAGAAGAAGCGTTGTCCATCAAGCTTTTGAGTTCTGCCTGAAATTAAAAAAGGAAAGCCTTATGAAAATGAGAACTGTATAGTTCTTATATCACATATAAAATGTTACAACATTTTATAGTTGACAAAGAATTTAACATGCTGTTCCATTTGTTCTGCAGGACTCTAAGAAATGATCAATGTTATTATTATCCTCATTTTACAGATGAGAACATTGAGGCTTATAAACATTAAGTGACTGAACCTTACACTAATTAGCAAGTCTGAAACTGGTGAACCCAAGTTTGTAGACTCACAGAGTTAGTCTTTTCTTTCAGGTGACGAACTTTTAACAACTAAGGTTGATTCTTATATCTTACCATTCCACCTATGTCTTGAATTTTCATACTATCTCCTTCCTGCTGAATTGGCCTTAATTTACATGATGCAATTAACATAAATTCTCCCCTCTATGTTATTATTTATTAGACCTATCAGATCTCTTCTGTATTGTCGTGCACCCTTAACTTCCCTTAGAAGAAATGGTCAGCCATTTCCACAGTGTCTTCACTAATGTCCTAGACTCACTTATCCCCTTCCTCAGCTTTCTGCTATTCCCATCTTGCCACTCTATAATTTTTTTTTTTTTTTTTCCCCAGCACGCGGGCCTCTCACTGTTGTGGCCTCCCCCGCTGCGGAGCACAGGCTCCGGACGCACAGGCTCAGCGGCCATGGCTCACGGGTCCAGCCGCTCCTCGGCATGTGGGACCTTCCCGGACCGGGGCACGAACCCGCGTCCCCCGCATCGGCAGGCGGACGCTCAACCACTGCGCCACCAGGGAAGCCCCGCCACTCTATAATTTTGATTAAACCTCCTCACCTCCTTTTTCTACTTCCATCAGTGGGTACCTAAGCTTTTCCGGATAAAATAATTAAATCCTTGATTATTCTCACTAAGCACTACAAACTTTTTCTACCTGATGTCACATAGGAATGCACACCTATTCAGCAATCCATTTACTAATCTCCTCTCTTGTCCACAGCAGTAATTCCAAAGCCTTGGGTCAGGGGTCCCCAACCTTTTTGGCACTGGGGACCAGTTTCGTGGAAGACAATTTTTCCACAGATGGTGGGGGGGGGGGCAGGGGGATGGTTCAGGCAGTAATGGGAGCAATGGGGAGCGCAGATGAAGCTTCGCTCGCTTGCCTTCCACTCACGTCCTGCTGTGCGGCCCGGTTCCTAGCAGGCAGCGGACCAATACCGGACTGTGGCCTGGGGCTTGGGGACCCCTGCCTTGGGTAATATTAGGCTAGTTCAGCAGTTTTCAAGCTTTTGGATCTCAAGATCTTTTTTAAATCTTAAAAATTATTAAGGATCCCAAAGAGTTTTTGTTTATGTGGGTTATAGCCATTCATATTTATTGTATTAGAAATTAAAACAGAAATTTTAAGTAATCAATTAATCAAAAGTAGTAATAAACCCACTACACATTAACACAAATAACATATTTTTCATTAAAAAAACTGTATTTACCAAAACAAAAATTTAGTGGGAAGAGTGCTGTTTTATATTTTTGCAAATCTCTTTGATGTCTGGCTTAACAGATGACAGCTGGATTGACATATCTGTATCTGCAATCAATCTGTTTTGAAATCATGTTGTCCCTGGAAAACTTCACTGCACACTTGAGTGAAAAAACAAAATCTTTTAGTATTATGATACTTTGATCTCAGGCAGGGCCAGCCAGGAATAAAGGTGAGGCAAGTGAGCTACCTAGGGCGCAAAATTTAAAGCAGCACTCACTGCACATGAAAAGATGTTCAACTTCATTAGTTATCAGGGAAATACAAATCAAAATTACAATGAGCTTCCACTTCACATCCACTGGGATAGCTAGAATAAAAAAGTCAGATAAAAAAAAAAAGTCAGATAACAACAACTGTTGGCAAGGATGTAGAAAAATTGAAACTCTTATACATTGCTAGTGGGAATGTAAACTGGTGCAGCCACTCTGGAAAACAGTATGACCCAACAATTCCACTCCTAGGTATATACCCAAGAGAAATGAAAACATGTTCAAAACATGTCCAAAAACATGTATACAAATGTTTACAGCAGCATTATTCATGATAGGAAGAAGGTGGAAACAATCCAAATAACCATCCCCTGACAACTGGAAAAATAAAATGTGGTATATCCATACAATGGAATATTATTTGGCCATAAAAATGAATGAAGTACTAAAACATGCTATAACATGATGAACTTTATAAACATTACGGTAAAGTAAAAGAAGCCAGTCATAAAAGATCACATAGTATATGATTCCTTTTACAGGAAATATCCCAAACAGGCAAATCCATAGAGACAGAAAGTAGATTAAGTAGTTGCTTAGGGCTTGGTGAATGGGGGTTGATAGCTATAGGGTATGGAGTTTCTTTTTGAGGTAATGGAAATGTTCTAAAATTGACTGTGGTGGGAGTTCCCTGGTGGTCCGGTGGATAGGACTCCGTGATTTCACTGCCGAGGCCAAGGGTTCGATCCCCCATCAGGGAACTAAGATCCCGCAAGCCTCATGGCACGGCCAAAAATAGAGGGAAAAAAAAAAAGAAGTGCTTAAAATAAATAAATAAAATTGTCCATGATGAAGATTGCACATAGTGGTGAATATACTAAAAACCACCGAATTGTATACTTTAAAAGGGTGAACTGTATGGTATGTTACATATATCTCAATAAAGCTGTTAAAACATAAAATTATAAATAGAAGATGTAGGTCATCTTATAATATGTTAGAGTGAAAATGACCTTTCTAAAAGCACGACAACTTGATAGAAATCATGTAAGAAATATTCCTCGTGAAACATCAATACGTGATTTTACGTTCAAATTTTCTGTGTCCTATATTAGGGTTTTGTCTTTTCCATCTAATTCATCAATCTTTGTCTTTAATTGAGAAATCAAACCTTTTAAATGTAATTACAGATAAGCTGGATTTGAAAAAGGCAAAACAATAGGTGTTTAGAAGCCTATAAATGTGACTGTGTTCCAGCCTATGAAATCTTTGCTAATTGCTCAGTTCACTGAGAGTTTACAATGTATATGAAGGTAAGGACTTTGCAGACATCACAGAAACCTACGGTAATGCAGTACTATTAGTTTGCATATTTTGCAGATAATGCTTAAGGAGGTTAAGTGGTGCACTGAAAGCCACATAGCTGGTAAGCTAGGATTGGAATACGGTCTATCTGATTTCAAAGCTCCTTTTCTTAATCACTACCGGAGCCCTCCCAGTTTGGGGGGATAAAATTTCTTTATCCTCTGAAACCAGTGTTCTTCTTCCTTTTACCAGCATCCTATATTCACTGCTTCTATTTCTTCATCATCTACTTGTCATTCCTCTGCCACATCCTTCAGGACAATTCTCAGTCCAAGTGATTACTCATTCACTCTTTATCTCCTTGCCACCTAGCTTCAACACCCAATAATAATGATACCCGAATCAGAGTAGGAAACCCCAGTTAGGAAATCCAATGGCTTTTTCTCAATCTGCATCTTTATTGACCTCTTTTGAACCTCCTCCTTCTTCTAATGTGATTCACCCTTAATTTGTTAGTCATATTTTAAATTTCTCATTCAACCATTACTTAGTTGGCAGCAACTTTGTGTGTGCATTGTGCCAGGTCCTGGGATACAAATGCCAAAGGACAGTCTCAACCCTCAATGAGCTTGTCTAGATTAAAGATAATTAAAGCACGTTAACGAGGTCTTGCTCAGGTAGGATCCGCCACCATCTGGACCCTCAGGGCCCCAGTGCAGCTCAGGGCCATGGCTCTGTGCTGGCCCATGGCCATTGGCCTCAACAAAGGCCACAAGGTGACTAATAGCATGAGCAAACCGAGGCCTAGCCACCACCACGGGCGCCTCACCAAGTATACCAAGTGTGTGTGAGACGTGATCCAAGAGGTATGCAGCTTTGCCCCTTAAGAACGGCAGGCCACGGAGCTGCTCAAGGTCTCCAAGGACACATGGGCCCTCAAGTTCATCAAGAAAAGGGTGGGGACATACTTTCATGCCAAAAGGAAGAGACAGGAGCTGAGTAATGTCCTGGCAGCCAGGAGGAAAGCAGCAGCCAAGAAGGACGGAGCTCCCTCCCCTCAGTGCATAATAAAACCTCTTCAGAAAAAAAAAAGAAAATTAGGCAACTACCAAATAATAAGTATGATTTTATATATAGATATAAAATCATATATAATAGTCATATTATTACCAATTACTTGTTGGTAAGATATAATAACCATATTATTTGATTACATTTAAATAATCATGCTTATTACTCGGTAGCTATATTATTATGTATATATATAAATTAAGAGCAAGAGGAATGTACACCTAAGTTTGCAGTAAATTTTAGTGGTTAAGTCTCTGGGCTTTAGAGTCAGGGTTTGAGATCTGAATTTCTCACTTGTTAGTTGTATAACCTTGGGTAAATTGTTCAAAGTACTTTAAGAATTGAGTGAGGGCTTCCCTGGTGGCGCAGTGGTTGAGAGTCCGCCTGCCGATGCAGGGGACACGGGTTCGTGCCCCGGTCCGGGAGGATCCCACATGCCGCAGAGCAGCTGGGCCCATTAGCCATGGCCGCTGAGCCTGAGCGACCGGAGCCTGTGCTCCGCAACGGGAGAGGCCAAAACAGTGAGAGGCCCGCGAACCGCAAAAAAAAAAAAAAGAATTGAGTGAATCATTACAGATTATTTCATGTTTACTATAGAAGATCAGAATGCTTTGGTGTCTGGGGAGAGAATGAACTATACAATATAGAGCCCATTATAAAAATTACTAGAGGAATGTCTGCTTTTAAATGGTTTAATAAAATTAACATAGGTAAACACAAACTATATCCTCTTGCTACCAAAAAAAAAAAATAGCTTCTTCAGGTACCTTTGACATAGTCAACTACTGCTGGAGAACTTTACCAAATCAACATGCAATCTACATGGACACAATTTCAAATGAAAAAGCATGCCTTTAGTGCAGTCTGGTATCCTGACATGGACACCGTCAGACCTACAGCAGATTGGTTAGCCATGCCACCCATACCAGACTCTGGAAAGAACATGTGCGGACAAAATGTAAACATGTAATAGGTTGGACCTTATACTAAAATTGGCAAGGTCCCCAAGACTGACTCAAGGTAGAAAGGCAAGAATACACTTCTCTTCTTTCATTTATTCTAAACAAAACTCTAATGAGATCAAATTGCAAATCCAGTTTACTATTAAACTGCTGATGCTGGGAACTAGCCAATTAGGCAGACTCCAGGGACTCTAGTTGAAATGAGTATTCCAAGAATGTATTTTATATAATATCGATATATAAAGGGACCACTCCATTGCATATTAAGCAATTTAATTGATAGGCATTTCTTTTGCCACAACTGACCACGTTTATCGACATAAACCATGAAAAGTGAATCTGGGCATATGTTAAGGACGTGTTCTCCAACCACTAGCTGCTAAACACTGTTTCACCCAGCAGTTGAATCTGCTGTTGGTGTAAAGTATGTTTACATACTTTATAGGGAAATACAGGGTAATTCAAACTGGAATTAAGTAAATTAAGAACCAATTATGGGACTTCCCTGGCGGTGCAGTGGTTAAGAATCCGCCTGCCAATGCGGGGGAAACGTGTTTGATCCCTGGCCCGGGAAGATCCCACATGCTGTGGAGCAACTAAGCCCGTGTGCCACAACTACTGAGCCCACATGCCACAACTATTGAAGCCTGCGCACCTAGAGCCCGTGCTCCACAACAAGAGAAGCCACCGCCATGAGAAGCCTGCGCACCGCAACGAAGAGTAGCCCCCACTTGCTGCAACTAGAGAGACCCCGCGCGCAGCAACGAAGACCCAATACAGCCAAAATAGAAATTAAAAAAAAAAAAAAAAAAAAAGAACAAATTTCATCACTACCTCAGCAGCTTTGCCATTGTAAAGGCGAAAATGATTACAGGCCTTAAGATTGAGTGCGATGGTACTATCAGGAATTTGCTGAAGATAAACAGCCAGAACTTCTTGAGACACATCATAGTAATCCAGCTTGTAGTAACACAGGGCCACATAAACATTGAGGGCAAGGTACTCCCTATTAGATGAAAGAATTAAGGATTAACAATTTAAGTCTACTTCATAGAAATGTTGTCAAACTACAGACCTTTTTAATGGCTCAAATGGACAGCAAGGCAAAGAGGACATTTCTTCTTTTAAAGAAAAAAGAAGAATATAATCAGTGTAGCATCTTTCTTTTTGTATTATAATATTTAAGTGCTTTGACATAAGCAGAGTAAAAGATGACAACTAGAGGAGAAAGGGAAAAGTTCAACTACTACCTATTCATGTTTAAAAAAACTTACATAATCAGTAATCGAGTATAAACTCAAATAAGCAGGCAAGGCAAGTAGATTTGACGACTGAGAATGGGAATGGGTGGGAGATTGTGACAGTAAAATAAAGGAAGGGAGAAGGGAAGTGTATGAGATATTTTTGGGATGCAGGAGAGAAGCCAAGTGGTCAGTGATAAAGTTGGAACATTAATTCTTCAGAATGATTTGTTTCCAATTTTGTCAGCAAGTTACCTACAGTGTAACCAAAACACTGAAATTGATACACCTAGACCATGCATTTCCAACAGGTGTGATATCACCCACAAAGGGGCAAAAATTGGTTCTTATGGAGAGGTGGAAAATCATACTCATTTTATATATAAAGCATAGATATACATACAGTACATAAACAGATATACAATATATCTATGGTACTGAAACTTCATGGGAGGGCAATTAACGGGGGAAAAGTCTAAAAAGCCTCCTTGGTAGGTCAATAATGAAATAAAGGTGGAGAAACCCTGATCTAGACAATAAGGAGTTCTTAATCTCACCAGATTATTAGCTAAATAGATTTGAACACGTGGTGATATTAGATCCAAAGGACACTAGGTCCTCAGTCAAACTAGGTACAGAAGAAAGTAACAAAATGAGATTTCAAGGAGGCATAAATGGACACAGACCTGTTATCTAGCAGTATTCGCTTATAAATATCAATAGCTTCTTGGTAGTGAGATCGCATATAGTGGATTGAGGCCAAACTGAGTTGATCTTCTGTGATATCCTGAAGATTCTGATGAAAGTTCATCAATTTCTTCTCATCATTAAACTAAAATTGTAAGACAGCAAAAGACGTGTAAAGATTCACATTAGAGTACGGTTACAGAAATCAACACCTACATAATGGGTGTTTTAACTTCCCCTTCTCCTTCAGCCATTTGTCTCTGTTCTATTTCCCTTCAGCTCCTGGTGGTGTTTACCTCTCCTTCAGAGAAAGAATAAAAATAGTCTCTGGGGACCTCCCTGGCGGCACAGTGGTTAAGAATCTGCCTGCCAATGCAGGGGATACGGGTTTGAGCCCTGGTCCAGGTAGATCCCACATGCCGCAGAGCAACTAAGCCTGTGCGCCACAACAACTGAGCCTGCGCTCTAGAGCCCGCGAGCCACAACTACTGAAGCCCGTGCGCCACAACTACTGAGCCCGCATGCCACAACTACTGAAGCCCATGCACCTAGAGCCTGTGCTCCGCAATAAGAGAAGCCACTGCAATGAGAAGCCCGTGCACCACAACGAAGAGTAGCGACTGCTCGCCGCAACTAGAGAAAGTCCACGTGCAGCAACAAAGATCCAACACAGCCAAAATAAATAAATAAATATTTTAAAAAAAATTTTTTTAAATAGTCTCTGGAGGCAGAGCCTTAACAATGGAAAGCCTTTAAGTTACAGCTCATATTAATTACTTGACACTCCTCTTCTTACCTTCTTTTCTTTTCTATTTCTTTCTTTATATCTTCTCCCTTTCTTTTTTCTCTCTGTCTCTATCTTTTTTACATGCTGTTTATAAGAGAGACATTTAAAATAGAAGGACACAGAAAGATAGAGAGTGAAAGGATGGGAAAAGATACAATAAGCAAACACGAACCAAAAGGGAGCTGGTGGAGCTACACAAGTACGACAAAGTAGTCTTTACATGAAGAGAGATTTTTGGAGATAAAGAAAGACATTTCATAATGATAAATGTTTCAGTCCACTAGATGGACATAACAATTCTAAATCTGTAACACTTAATGATAGTCTGCAAAACATGTAAAGCAAAAATCGAAAGAGCTAAACAGAGAGACAGATAATTATAGCATGAAGTTTTTTTTTGTTTCCCCCCGCACTGCCTGGCTTGCAGGATCTAGCTCCCTGGCCAGGGACTGAACCCGTGCCCTTGGCAGTGAAAGAGCAGAGTCCCAACCACTGGACCAACAAGGAATTCCCCAAATTTTTAAATGCACCAAAAATAATTATTTTCAAATACTACCTTTGGACAATTAGATAAACTTCCTGTAAAATAATTTAGTACTATCAATTAAAAGCTTTAAATTTTTATTGTTCATACTCAGTAACTCAGTAAGTCCATTTTAGGATGTTAGAATCACATTTTTATCATTAAAATTAAAACCAATCTGGAAGTTAAATAACTAGAAGTGTTGAATGAATTGTGGCACATGCATATGATGGATTGTTATTTTAAAAAGTCTGGTTTTTAAGACTAGTGACTCAGGGGTACACTCGTACTACAAAGATAAGTTAAAAAAAAAAAGCAGAATACAAAAATATATATTTAACATGAATCCCATTCTGCAAAACAAATGAACAAAAATACAAATATGCATATAAAAAATAATTACCCCAAAAGGAGATATGCCAAAACGTTGAAATTCAGCTAGCTTTAAATATGGTAGATGTTATATCCTTTTATTGCATATTTATATTTTGCTTAATAGAATGTGTAATTTTATAATATGAAAAATGATTTTAAAAATTATTTTATGACATGATCAAAATTATTGCTATAAGGCAATTCTGAAAGGTATGTATTTACTTTCAGGAGTCAGGACAAGGTGTCTTTGATTCTGTTTCCTAAGAGACAATAAGATGGTGGAAACAAACTAATCTTAAATGACTACTGCTTAAGAAGAACTAAAACCTAACATTTCTGAATAAATAAACAGAGTAAAAAAACATTAATGGGGGAGAAAGTCCTATAAAATTAACACCTGTATTCTACTTGTTCTAGAAATACCATTAACGAGACTTCCTACTTAATTTTCTTTCACCCTTGTTGGTAACAAGAAGAAAGAGAAATATATTTTAAAAACAAAAAGTGTGAAGTCAATTACACGTCAATTAAAAAAAGATATACATAAGAAATTTTTTTTAATTTTACCACATTAAAACAAAAAGTGTGAAATAGGAACGGAAGTACCTTGTGAGCCAAGTGGAAGAGGAGGCGGTTTTGAAGTCGGCTTTTTGGAGCTGTGAAAAAAATCCAAGGTACTTATTAAAGAACTCAATTGTCTATGGCACTTAGTCCCTTGCAGGAATGACACGAGACAGATAAATCTTCCCAAATCCTTACCTACTGGATCCTGCTACGTCTCTGCTATAATATATTAATGTATTATTTTAGTCTAGTCTTACTGCAGTAGCAGCGACATCACCAAGAACCAGAAGGAAAATGCTCTAAGGTTCCGCTCTTGCCCACACTTCTTCCTCCTCACTCTATGGTGCTGAAGCACAGCATGGCACTCCTCCCAGTTCCAGCAGCAGCCCACCCTGTGTAGTTCACACACTGAAGCAAACACCGGAAGCAAATGGTTACGGTCATCTCAGTACATGTAGGAATCCACTCTCATTCAGCTGGTCTTCCAGTGTTCTTTGTCGATTCCTTCTGAAATCCCCTTTTCATAATTACAGTGCCATATTTTCCTAAATACTAGCCCCGTCTCCATTTCATAGATCTTCTGGCATGATAATCTACCATCTAAAACAGGGAGCCAAGCAAAAAGGTGAACACCTCTTAAGTTCCAGATGTGCTCTTGGAGAATTTTCCTAATTCTAGACACTCAATCTTATATCTCTTTACAACAAAAAGTCATACTTCAATGTATAAAAAAGAAAGATATATATGGAAAGAGAGATAGCTACCTTGATCACCTTACATGTGTCTAACTGTTCTAGGCACAGATAAAGTCTAGAAACGTGAGATAAATAACTCAAAGACCTTTATAACTAAATTAGGAAAATTAGAATTCCATGACTCTGAACTAGAATTCTATCTAAATATGTATATATCAGTTAATTCTCTAAGATTTCTACCCTGAAATACATTCTTCCCTAACATATTTCCTAACAAACATTCTTTTGCCCACTTTCTCTACTTTTCTTTGAATTTAATTTGATTCACACTCTAATTATTCTTAATCTTTCCTCCCATAATTCCCTTTTGCCCTACTCTATTTGCAAATTTGAGTCCAGCTCTCCTAAGTTGACTGTCCTGGTAAGTAAAGCAAAAGGGAAGAAATCTGGATTCTTCAAGTTGAAATTACTTGGCTTCTCATTCAGAAGCAGGAAAAGAAGCTATAAAATGCACATTCATAACAGCTTGAACAACTATACCCAACTCCTACCAACAGCATGAACTTCCTACCACAGTGGAGCCTAAGAAAGGCACCTTGCCCTTTTTCTTCTCTCATCCTTCTGCTTTTTGGCTTTAGCTTCTGAGGAGGTGAACTGGGGAGGGTAAGTAGCACACAGATTAACTCTCTTTTTAAACATAAAGTTGCTAAGATCCAATAGTCTTTCAAGAGTAAAGCTTTTTTTTTTTTTTTTAGCTTTCTAATGTCACTTGATTTTTCCTCAATAGAAAAAGGAATTAAATAAGTTTTAAAATCTTCAAAATGACTCTTACTATTAGTGAGAATACCAGATATTAAAAGGGCCCATTTACCTTTAAATCCAGCTGCTTCGGCTTGTTTATACATTCCAAGAAAAAAGTAGGTACAGGCTAGGTTCACCCAGACTTCAGGACTGCAATTTTCCTCTTTCGTTGCATTTTCATATTCCTGAAACATACATTAAGCAGTGATCCCTTTCAGCAGTAGGGTAATCAATGGGCCATTCCTTTATGTATAATGGAATAGGAGTTCTTACTGTGACTGGGCAACTTCACATATAGGGACTTCTATATGCTCCTTACTTATTCTATACCTGTAATATTAAATACTGAAGCTGGGCTTCCCTGGTGGCGCAGTGGTTGAGAGTCCACCTGCCGATGCAGGGGCCACGGGTTCGTGCCCCGGTCCGGGAGGATCCCACATGCCGCGGAGCGGCTGGGCCCCGTGGGCCATGGCCGCTGAGCCTGCGCGTCCAGAGCCTGTGCTCCGCAACGGGAGAGGCCGCGACAGTGAGAGGCCCGCGTACCACAAAAAAAAAAAAAAAAAAATTCTGAAGCTAAGGCTCAATCCTACCCATGCAGGGCTGTTGTCCACATAACATTACACTTGTTTTCTTCTTCCCCTTTTAATATTGACATGGGCTAACAAACTGCAGAAATGAAAAGCAACTAAAACAATTTTTTTGCTAACTTAAAAAGACATAAAAAAGATGCCTTATTAAAAATGCATAGGTTCAGTTAACTTAAAATCTGATAACCTTAATACCCCACAACTTTCATTTCATTCTAATTGTTCTCTGGCTTTGTTTATTTGGCTTCCCACTTTTAAAATCTGGTGTGTTCTTCTGTTTTTTTTTCCTTTTAAGGACAGTTTCTGAGATTCATTTTATTTTTAAAATAAAAATAAAATTTATTTTATTTTTGGCTCCATTGGGTCTTCGTTGCTGCATGCGGGCTTTCTTTAGTTGCGGTGACCAGGGGCTACTCTTCGTTGCAGTGTGCGGGCTTCTCATTGTGGTGGCTTCTCTTGTTGCGGAGCACGGGTTCTAGGTGCACGGGCTTCAGTAGTTATGGCACACGGGCTCTAGAGCGCAGGATCAGTAGTTGTGGCACACGGGCCTAGCTGCTCCGCAGCATGTGGGATCTTCCCGGACCAGGGATCGAACCCATGTCCCCTGCGTTGGCAGGCAGACTCTTAACAACTGTGCCACCAGGGAAGTCCCTCCATAAACTCTTTTACTATTAATCAGTCTTCCCCAGATGCCCTTTTTCTTTCTTACTCTGTTTGGGCTACTCTCTTTTCTCCTTTATCTTTCACATATACTACCAGCTCCTATTCTGCCCTTTTCACATCTTCACTTTTCCTTCACTGATTTTGTTGCTTTTGTTCATATCACTTCCTCATTACCTGATCTTGGATACTTTTCATTTTAGTAGTGCAGGTTATTTTAATATCCTTAGATTACACTTTGAGAGTAAGAATATGTGGGAAAGTTCCAAACAATTTCATTTATGAATTAAAAATTATTTGACATAAGGCATCTACAATTTTATCTAGATCCATAATTCCATAGATTGTTAATTACATTGCAGGGTTTACAATGACCAAGAAAAAAAACTTTCAAAGCTATACTTAAAAAATATAAAGATAATATAATCTTTCCTATGTCTAAAATTAACCACACAAAACAACAATGAACTTCTTTTTGAGAAAAGAATCGTGAAATTTTTTATCAAAAGGGCTTATTTTTCTTCTCCTGAAGACTTCCTTAAGAAAGACTAATATTAATATATTGAACAATCTCATTAGTATATATTTAAAAGGAAAAAGTAAACAGACATAGATAAATATGCTTGAACATATACAGAAGATTTCTGAGGCAACACATCAAAAAAGAGCCAATGGTTACTTCTGTTAACAAAGAAATAGGATTGAGGAAAGCATACAGGGTGACTTTTTTTCCTTTTTCCTTTGTTCCGTTCTATATTGTTTGAATTTTACCATGAGCGTGTATTATTATAATACAAAGCTTAATAACTTTTCAAAACCCTTCTGGTATAAAAAGAAAAGTTTCTTTAAACTAACCTCTAAAGCTCTCTTGTAGTCACCCAGATGAAAAGCACAGTATCCAATCCACAAATTAGTGTCCTCTTCTTGTTCCCCAACATGACGTTTGAACTTCACGTTAAAATTTCATGAAAAAAAAAATCATGAATACTTTGAATAGTACACTCTCTGTTAAACACTGCTATGTTAAGTTATTAATGAACAATAGGAAATCACAAATTGTAGAAGCAAGGTAATCTCAGTTTAATTAAACTGATACCTACAGAACTCAGCACAATTACCTTTACCTCAAATATTTCACAATTGTTTTTCTGTGTTTACTGACACCCTACTCCAGAAAGTATTTAAGAGTTATCCTCATAACAATTCTGGGTGATACATAAGGAACATAAGAATTATGTGAAATATTTAATGCCAAATAACTGAAAGTTAGTGAAATTAAGTGATGGACTCAAGGCCACATACAGCCAGTAGGTGTGGTGGCAGGGACCACCGTAGCCCATGGACTCCAAAGCCCATGTTTTCACCCCTCCATGCTCTACCCCGCATTCATCTTCATGCTTCAAACCTGCCCCGTGAGCACACACGTACATTTATTCATAGGTTATAACCTTTCACTGAGGACAAGCCATTAAATCATTCTATTACCCTTCAACAGGCTTACCAGGGCCTGCAAGAATTAAAGATGTTTAGAAGACCACCTAATCATTTATGTCCATTATGAAAAAATATTCATGAATTCATCAGCCAATGAAAGAAAAGCCCTGTTTTGGAGGAAAGGAGTGAGACCTTGAAGGAGGAGTCTGAATGACCATGGCAAGGTGAGATTTTTTTTTTTCACTCTATATGGTGGTAAGTCAAAAACATGGGTAAAAAAAGTAAAAATTAAACAGATCATCATTAACTGTGGTGACCTAAATAGGAAGGAAATCTAAAAGAGTGGATATATGTATACGTATAACTGATTCACTTTGCTATACAGCAGAAACTAACACAACACTGTAAAGCAACTATACTCCAATAAAAATTAATTTAAAAATAAATTAAAAATTAAAGAAAAACAGATCATTGTTACAAAACCTCAGGTGCCTCGACCATTACAAGATGAAGACATCTGTTGATACTTTCTTGTCTGAATAAGAACTTACTCCTGTAGCTAACTCCATAATATTAGAAATTCTCCTCTCACCAAATACTGTGAATTTGAGTACAGTGCCTTAAGTCTGAAAAAATTCTTATTTGAGGTCTCCCTGAATTTGCCCCAGGAATTCCCTGGAGCCACAGGAGAGCTCACGACACCTCCTCATCCTAAACCACGGCAGTTCCCATTCCCATCCATCATGGCACTTTGGCTACCTAAGAATGAAAGCGTAGCGCAGAACCTCCCTGACAACTTACAGGCAGCGTGGGATTACACAGTAAGGAAAGTGTGGTCACTGCCTCAAAGAAAAGAGAGAAGAGAAAATAGACTGACAAAAATTACACATGCATCTACCACTCAGTCCACTGATTTACAGAGCTAGATGGTCCTTCCAAGTCAACTCCCCCACTTTAAAGATGAGAAAGCTGATGCCAGAAGAGTTAAGCAATGTGCTCAATACCAGAGCACTGGCAAGAAACACAGGACTATACGTGAAAGACTGAGAAAGATACATAAAGCTAATTAAAACACTTATTGTTGATAGAGTAATAAGGCTGTTGTAGTGCTTTAGAGAAATGATTATGGAACAACACAGCCAGGCTGTGCTGTCAAAACTCTTCATCTCTTCATTCTTTGGTGTACCCTTTCATTCTTTTATAACATATGCTTCCCAGAAAGCCGTTTCCCAAAGTGCAGCATCTTTGGAACATCTACATCAGAAGCACTTAGGCTACTTGCCCAAAATACGGGTTCCTGAGAACCACTGTAGGCTGATTCTGTAAAGAATCAGAATCCCTAGGGCAGGAGTCCAGGAATGTACATTTTAATAAGTACCCTAATTCTGATGCATATTAAAAGTTGAGAACTACTGCCATAGAGATTTGAAATATCTTCTGAAGATACAGTATTTTTAGACAATAAGCATGCAACATGGTAGAATTATTTAAATTTGATCAGAATGTTATAACATATAATAGGAATAAACCATAAATTGGTCAGGGGGTGGAATGAACAACATGTGAACTGACACTGTATTAAATGTCCCTCTACATTTTTAGGCTGGATTCATCATCAGTGGGACTAGATATAATTAAAACTGTCCCTCGAGAAATAAGTCTATCATTTTAGTTCACCTTTAATCAGGTTTATAGTTAACTTGGAATCTGGAATCTGGGCCTGACAAGATTTACAGAAAGTCCCAGAAGGCACCCACCTGTTCCAACAGCATAGCAACCAGCATTCACCCATGCATTCCTCTATATTCTGGTTTTTCACCTCCTAAGAAGCAACCTTCTTTGGACATTACCTCCAACAGGGTAATAGCTCCAGTGAAATCTCTTTGTGAAAGTAGCTCCTCTAGTTTTGGAATCTTCCTACCTTTCTTCTTTCTTTTGTCAGTATGCGGTAGGTCCCTGCCTACAGCAGGTTTGGCCCTTGAAAGCATCTGTGAAAGAAACAACAAAGACAGCTGTATGATCCCATTCCGATGGTCAATATTAAACTGAGAGTGACGGCTCCAGGATTTATAAGTCAAATCCGTAACAACGAACCCCAGGTAAGCGTATTCAAATTCTTTCTGTAACATGTTATTTTACTAAAAGGGCCATCACCCTGTGTTTGAGCTAACGAAACTGCTACTCCCTAGTTCTTTATCTCCCCCAATTAGAGTGAGGTAAGAGATGCTTTCGCGCAGCTGCTGTCATCTCAGCCTTCCCTCGGTCCGCTTTCCAGCCCACGCGCAGCTCAGGAGTGGGGAAATGGAGAAGCAGGAGGGAAGAAAGCAACGATGTATTTACAACTGCATCCCTGTCCCCCGTGGGAACACGGGGAGGGCACAGACATCATCCTCTGCTGACAATCCTAGACTTAACCCAGAAGTATGTCTGGAACCTCTAATCTCCAGTCCCAGGACCTACTCAGAGTTCTCCCTCACTGTTCAAAGCCACTAACCATCTTGGCGTCAGTCTTATGAATCCCCTCTGCAGACAAACAGAAGGCCGGGCCTCAGCGCGCCTCGGCATCCACAAAGCTGGCTCGGTCTCCACAGCAACCCCGCCGGGGGACTGGTCCGTGCAGGAGTAGCGTCCGCCGGAGAACCGGTGCCCTCCACGTCTTGGTTCCCCTAGGCTTTCACCGCTGCAGGAGTGAAAGTTTCTCCGGAGGAGAGCGTTGTTCTCTGTGCTGACAGCGAGAGTTTGACTCTATCTCCGTGAGTTTACTTTAGGAAAAAGCGAATTAGAATGGCATTGTTTTTCAAATACAAGTTTCCCGGGAAAGTAATTTTCAAGGACCACTTCCGGGTTGGATCGCGTTGGGCTCCTGAGCAACACGGGGCGCTGACTGGCACGTGATCGCCGTCTCTTGTGCAGTGCCGGAAAGCTTAGAAAAAAAATTCTGCCAAACCGAGGAAGCCGATGTTTGGAGGCGGGAGTTCACCAGAATACGGTTTCTTATTTCCATAGATAAAGCTACCCTTGTGATGTGACGTTATATTGTGATTCCTGCTCATAGAATTTAGAATAGAACCTCTGATTTGTTATAAATAGGGAAACCCAACATGGAGTCACAGTGGCCAGTGTGGCACCCATCTTGATTGTTTCTAAAGATCTGATGTAAGATTTGGAATATGTAAATTAAGATAACTGGAGTGTGAAGTCAAATAAGTAAATTGATTTTTTTTTTTGGTGGTGGTGGGAGTTGGCTGTGTCACAGGGCTTGTGGGATCTGAGTTACCCAACCAGGGATCAAACTCAGGCCCTTGTCAGTGAAAGCCTGGAGTTCTAACGGCTGGACCACCAGGGTCCAGTAAATTGTTTTTAAAGGTGTGCGGAAAGACTTAAAGAAAGATGCATAACGTGAGTTGTGTGTTTAAGTTTTATTCGGGATCTTTCTGAGGACTAAAGCCTGGGAGACAGCCACTCAGTAAACTGTGGCAACTACTTGGTAGAGGTAGGGGAGAAGCCAGTTTATACATGATTTTTGGCCAGGGCATACCTGAAGTCAAGCATATATCTTGGTAAGATTACTACTAATCGTAAAGAACAGATGTCTCCAGTTAATCTTTTCAGCTTTTCTGTGTATGGGAACATGCAAGAATCTAGGGTCATTAAAATTCTTCCTGAGATATACATCTAACTATCTGTGGGACCTGCCTGTTCGCGTGCGTCCAAAGCACAGATGCCTCATTCTGTGTTCACCTTAAATTCCTCTAAGAGTCCTACTGTCAGTCAGCAACTGCGGTGGGTTACAACTGAACTCTTGTGGAAATGGGTGGTGAGCAATGCTCTTTGTCTTAGCGATCCTAATTTTTCGGGGTCCACCCCTGTATGTTGGCTTTAAAAAATGAACAACCTAAAGTTGACAGTTATGTTTTATTTGGGGAACCTTACTAAGGTCTATAGTCCGGGAATTAGCTTCTCAGATGGCTCTGAAGAACTGTTCCAAAGAGGTGAGTGAGGAGCCAGGATATATAGGAGTTTTTGCTGGGAAAAAAAAAATGTAGTCAAACTTCAAAAGATTACTGCTAATTACAAAAAACAGACATCTCAAGTAAAGGGTTTTAATGCTTTTCTATGTATGGGAAGATGCAAGTGTCTGGGCTCATTGATATTCCTTTGATATGCATCTTAACTAACTAGGGCCAGTATCCTCTTTTTCTCCACCCTGAATTCCCCTCAGGATGCACTGTCAGGGCAGCTGCAGTGACCGTTGGCTTGATGGCAGACAGCATTTTTTGTTTACTGAAATAGCAGGCAACATTTTTTTGTCCACAGGTAAGGCTCTTTGCTGCTGGGGTTGTAACTTTTGCACTCTAGGGATTGTACCTCACAAAAGACAGGGTCTGAGTGCAGTTGCTGGAGAAGGGTCTCGATGGACCGCATGCACTACGCTCGCTGGAGACTGCCCGTGTCAGAAGCTGCCGGAGTAGAAGGTGATTGCTGAGAAAAGCCAGCGCCATGCAGGTTGCCGCTGCCTACATCTAGAACCCGTGCCTGCCATTTGCGTTGAGGATGCCTCCCTTCCCCTATCTCTCTTCAAAGTGGTTCCTTAAACCCTTTATTTTCTTTACTGTTGGGTGTGACTAATTTGAGTGTGTTGAGTGCAATAAGCCAAGTGATTTTAGCCTCTTATACAATTGGCTTATGACATGTTTTACGACTTCTCAATCCCACCATTCTTCCCTGGCCTTGTTGCTTTGGCTTGTGGCCAACACCCACACACAGTAAGGAACTATAATATGTGCTGGGTGGATGACTTAATTTATCTGTCTTACTCCTGAACCCAGTTAACACAGATGCAAGGGTAGTCTAAAATCACCGAATCATGGAGTACTAGAGCTGGAAGGGACCTTTAAAGGACATCTAGTCCAACCCTCAGAATTAACAGACTAAGGAACTAACATCTGGAGAAGTGAAGTAATTCTCCCAAGTGTATCGATAGTTGTGTTGTAGTCGAATTACATTACATACCCCCTGAATAACTAGCCCTGTAGAGACTCAGGTGTACCATAAGCTCATAGAAGGCAGGTATGACTTCTTAGATTCTTTCTCATCCTCCTTGCACTCTAGCTCCTGTCCCCGCCCCTCACCCTCACCCACAATCACTTGGAGAGTAAATGGGTGACTGCATATCTTCATTGCCAGATGTATACACTTTTGTATACATGCAAACATGGATAAAGACTCATACCACAGGCACATGCATAGTTTCCCCTCCGGCCCCCACCCTCTGGGAACCACTAACCCATCTTCTCTCCATGTGGATTTGCCTGTTTTGGACATTTTGTATAAATGAAACCATACAAAGAGAGGTCCACACACCGGATGTCTAAATACTGAAAAATTTAAAATCAGCCTAGCAGACTGTTAAAATGTTTTATCCTCTTGCCTTGACAAATACACCATCACGAAGAGGGTCACGTTCCAATTTAGAATTCTCAGACTTCTTGGAATGCTGTTGGGGGAGGTGGCAGTGTGGAGAGAGCTACCCCCGGTGCTCACTCAGCCCACGCCCTTCTCTTTTCAGCCCATCTCTTCTCTTCTCCATCCTGCACCATGAGAGGCTCTGCATGTGTGTGGCCACCCAGCCCCCAAGTGCAAGGGTAGTCACCCGCTCTCCAGTGAGCAGTCACCCCCAATAGCCCTAAAGGGAGGACACACGCTGGGAAGAGACTGGCTCAGGTATGGAAACAGGCTTGGGGTGGTATGGGCAGGGAATTCCGAGTCCTGGGCACCGTAGTGTGGTGCGGAGGGCTGCAGGAACCCCTCAGCTCCATTGCCTCTTCACACCTGGTGCAGGGTGCAGTCAGGGCACCGAGCCCAGGGCAGGGACCCCTTTCACCAAGGTCTAAGGGCATTGTTGCTTATTATGCTGTATACAACCTTGTCGATCTTGCTAAATCCATTAAAATGATCTCTGGGGCTTCCCTGGTGGCGCAGTGGTTGGGAGTCCGCCTGCCGATGCAGGGGACACGGGTTCGTGCCCCGGTCCGGGAAGATCCCACATGCTGCGGAGTGGCTGGGCCCGTGAGCCATGGCCACTGAGCCTGCGCGTCCGGAGACTGTGCTCCGCAACGGGAGAGGCCACAGCAGTGAGAGGCCCGCGTACCACAAAAAAAAAAAAAAAAAAGATCTCTGATTTCCAGTAGTTTGTGATACTGCTTTAAACCTCTAAATCCCTGTAGAAGCTGTTTGAACTGTAGCTGTAATTATGAAGGGCAGAATATGGCATTGAGTGTACTTGAGAAGAAGCTATTGTTCCCAGCTATAGCTCTAAGAATCTAATGTGTTACAAAACATGTAATAACATAGACACACAAAAGCTGGTTGCACGGGTAAGAGATAAAGTTGGAATTTGCAACTTTATTGCAGTTGCAATAGAACAGCAGTTTCTGAAGAATTGTTAAAGTGACCCAGGTTGTGATGATGGTTGTATGCCTATGTAAATTTACTGAAAAACTTATTGGTGGTTCAACTGATATCACATAGCCTGATATCACGCTAATGTGTCCCGGTCTGGGAAGATCCCACATGCCGCGGAGCGGCTGGGCCCATGAGTCATGGCTGCTGAGCCTGCGCGTCCGGAGCCTGTTCTCCACAACGGGAGAGGTCACAACAGTGAGAGGCCCGCATACCGCCAAAAAAAAAAAAAAAAAAAAAAGAAAATGTAAATTATCTATAAATTTATCACCACTTATTAACACCTGTTAACATTTTGCCTTTTAAAAAGTGATTTAACCAGTACTAAAGGATAATGTAATCATAGCTGAACTACTGATAAATTGGAGAACTATGTAATAAGAAATCTATAGGTGATAATTGTTGAAGCTAGGTGATGGGTACATGAGTGCTTATTATACCATTCTATTTTTATATAGAAAATTTCCATAATCCAAAAATAAAAAAGAGGTACCTATTTGAAAACTCGCAAATTTTTCTGTATGGCCAAATTTTTAACTGAAATGAATTAAAAACATAGGAGTCAATATTTATTTCAATATAAAAGTTAACTTGCATTTATCCTAGTTAAAACTAAGTCTATGTGAGGATACTGAGCAAACGCATTTTCAACTTCTGATTTGCTAATGTAATTGTTTATTTGGTGAAAAGATAATTGGAAGATGAGAAAGCAATATAGACATCATAACATGTACACAGGAAAAGTACTAGGTGTTGCAATCCCATGATTCCTAAAAGAAGAAGCTCCCTGTGTCAGCCTGCTGCTGAGGTGCGGATCCTCGGAAGGTCCGTTTTAGTTCATCCCCTAGTGCTGAAGGCAGCTGCCAGCAAGAGCTGAAGGTGACATAGAGTTGTGTGCTTTGAAGTCAGCAAGTCCTGAATTTGAATCCTGCCTCCCCTGCTCCTACTGGTGTGAGCGGGTTACTTAATTCTCTGAGGTGAAATAGAGGTACTGTAAATAGAGGTACTAAAGCCCGCCTCACTGATTTGTTTACGATTCACCTGAGGGCTTCCCTGGTGGCACAGTGGTTGAGAGTCCACCTGCCAATGCAGGGTAAGAGGGTTCGTGTCCTGGTCCTGGAAGATCCCACATGCCGTGGAGCGGCTGGGCCCGTGAGCCATGGCCGCTGGGCCTGCGCGTCCGGAGCCTGTGCTCCGCAACGGGAGAGACCACAACAGTGAGAGGCCCACGTACCGAAAAAAAAAAAAAAAGATTCACCTGAGATCATTTATAAGTGAAAGGTGATATAACATAATGGTTAAGCCTGTAGCTTCAGGAGATAGACTGCCTGGGTTCAGTTCTTGGCTCTAGTACTTGCTTTAGCTGTGTGACCTGGGCAAATCACTTAACCTCTCTGGGCTTCAGTTTTCTCACCTGTAAATGGAAGATGATAATAATAGTTCTTAGATCCTAGGTCCATTGGTTGTGAAAGTTAAGCAAATTATACACAGAAAGCATTTAGAACAGTGCTGGGCACAAGGTCAATGCTATTACATGTGCTTCCGTCTTCGTATTATTTTTTATTGAGATATAATTTACATGCCATAAAATTCACTACTTTAAAGTGTACAATTTAATGGGGTTTTTGTATGTTCACGAGAATGTGCGTCACCGTTAATCTAATTTTAGAACGGTTTCGTTACCTCCAAAAGAAACGTGTGCCCGTTAGCAGTCACTTCCTATTCACTCTTTTCCTGGCCTTCCTGACAATCATCAGTCTATTTTCTGTCTCTGTGGACTTGCCTATTCTGGACATTTCATGTAAATGGAATCATACAGTATATGACCTTTATCTTTACCTTCATGCACTTAGCGTAATGTTTTCCAGGCTCATTCACATTATAGGATATACTAGTAGTTCATTATAGGATATACTAGTAGTTCATTCCTTTTTTTTTTTTTTTGTGGTACGCGGGCTTCTCACTGTTGTGGCCTCTCCTGCTGTGGAGCACAGGCTCCGGACGTGCAGGCTCAGCGGCCATGGCTCACGGGCCCAGCTGCTCCGCGGCATGTGGGATCTTCCTGGACCGGGGCACGAACCCGTGTCCCCTGCATCGGCAGGCAGACTCTCAACCACTGCGCCACCAGGGAAGCCCAGTTCATTCCTTTTGATGGCTGAATAATGTTCCATGGTATGAATGCCACATTTGTTTAAGTCTTCATATTATTTAAAGCACTTAACACATAGTAAGTGCTTAGGGCCTGGTGGTCTTGTCAGCATCCCACCCAGTGCCATAGGGTTCAGGGCACAGCCCCAGTCCTATTCTATCCCAAGGGGAATAGTACTCAAGGAAGAAGCCCAAGCCATGAAAGGCCACCCTGATGCAGCCTGCTGTGGGCCTCTCTCTGTCTGCCATGCCCAGCCATGTCTTGACCTTCCATAAAGTGGTCTCAGAAATCATGAGTTCCCCGTTGTCTCTCCCAGTCACACACAACCTGATAACCTGTTGTAATTCCCACTCTCTCTCAACTGCTTGTTTCACTTAATCTGTTCTTTTATTCCTCCTCTGGACCTGATTACCTCCCCAGTTTCCTTACACAGTGCACATTACTTTGTGTTTTGGACCTTGGTTTCTTTGTGTATTTGGGGATGTTGTATTAATTATCCATTGCTGCATAACAATTTACCCCCAAGCTTAATAGCTTAAAGCAATCAATATTCTTATCTCCCATGGTTACTGAGTAGCTCCCATACTGCTGAGTAGCTTAGCTGGGTGGCTCTGGCTCAGAGTCTCTCCCGAGGTTCAAGTTGAGCTGTCAGCTGTGGGGATGTAGTCATTGGACCTCTTGGCTGGAGCTGAAGGATCCCATTCCAAGGGGCTCATCCACATGCCTGGCAAGGTAGTGCTAGTTGTGGACAGGAGGCGTTTGTTACCTGTCATATGGGCCTTTCCATAGGACCTCTTGAGGGTCCACACAACGTATCAACTGGCTTCCCTACGGTGAGTGATAAAAGAGTGAACAAGGAAGTCACAATGTTTTTTATGACCTAGCTTTGAAACTCACGTTGTCATTGCTGTCATATCTCACTGATTACAGAGATCAGTCATATGCATTGTGGGAGGGGACTATACAGGGGTATAAATACCAGGAGGTGAGACTTGCTGGGTCCTAGCTGGCTGCCACATTGAGCCATTGTCTGCATGCCTGTGGCCTGTGCCTTCAGATGAGTGTTATCGAAAGGTGTGCAACCTGAAGTTCCTCATTTTAACACCACCAAAGCAAAGTATAAATTCATCCTCGAAGAGGGAAATGACCCTTCTCACTCTGAAGTCAACCCCTCCACCTGTATACTCCAGCTTCATCCCGTCCCAGTTCTCTTCCTCCCAGGGAGCCTTGTTGCTGCCAAGTTCAATGTCAGAAGATCCCGTCTGCCTGCTCCTCACCTCTGCCCTCCCCTGTCTGGCTGACTAATGCCCCCTCTGACTCCCATATCTCCTGGAGAGCATCTGTTTGCCATGGACTTTGGACATTCCATCTGACTCAACCCTCCAATGTTTATGTACTTTAAATTTCTATGACTCAGCATAGCTAACTCGTCACTGCCTTGTGTATGTTTTGTTTCCCTCCCTGATTGGTGGTTCAACTGATTCACATAGCCTGATATCACGCTGATGTGTCCTAGCAACTGCAGCTTTGCACTCTCCCCAGATATATTTCTTTGAAACTTTCAAATATGCCCAGATCTTCCAGTAAAACAACAGCAATAAATAAGCAAACAAATAAACAAAAAATCTCTCTAGCTACCCAAGTAATTCCTCTCCTCTCTTCTCCTTTCCTTGTCAATCCTCTAAAATGAGTGCTGTATTTTGATTTCCAACCTGAGCATTCTGAGAACTCTCTATCGAGTAAGTTGGAATATAAGATTGTACACAGAAGTTATTGACAAAGGAGTACTGTCTCAGGATACAGGATTTAGGGGGTACAAGGAAACTGTATGAACAAGTAGCCCAGATCTCCATGTCACTCATTACACTTGCACCAGCACCCCTCCACCAGCTTATACCTATGGCCATATGAGGGGGGTCCCATGTAACCAGTAAAGGAAGAAGAAAAAGACCAAGCTGGGAGTATGGCTGAGTCCCCTCAGTATGTGGGTACAAGCTGAAAATGGAAGGCAGCTACATTACAGTCATACTTAGGGGAAGCCTTGAAAAACGGTGGTGAAGGAAAATCTCCCCAATGGAGGAGCTTTCAGATGTGCACTAGGTCATCTGCGTTGTGTGGAAGGAGAATGGCCCAAGGTCAGAACAAATGTGGACTCATGGACAGTGATGTGTGGCCTGGCTGGTGTCTAGAGGACCTGAAAGAAAAAGATTGTAAAATCAGAGACAAGAAGAGCTGGAATTGAGGCACATGGATGAACTATAGGAGTGAATGCAAAGTGGGAAGTTGTTTGTATAATGTTTTAAGCCCACTAGTAAATATCCATTACAAAAGATGTACCAACTAGACAAAGTAATTTGGCCAGTTAATGTAGCCAGCCTTGGTCAGAGCAGCTGTCCCACCCCAGCTACATGATGGGTACCAAAGAGCCTACAGTGGCCAAAGAGATGGAGGCAATACAAAAACCTACAGTGTGGACTGTCATTTACCAAAACAAATATAGCTACTGCCACCTCTAAATGTCCAATGTGCCAGCCATTAAGACCAAGGCTAAGCACTATTCCTTAAGGAGACCAACAGGATACTTGGTGACCAGTTGTGACATTGTGACATCTTTTTTCCTGGAAGGGCCAGAGGTTTACTGTGTCAGGAATAGACAGATTCCAGGTATGGGGCTGCCTTTCCTGCCTGCAGAACCTCAGTAGCACCACTCTGGAGGCTTAAAGATTGCCTGATCCACAGACATGGGATCCCACATAACACAGTATCTGACCAGAAGATTCTTTACAGTAAATAGAGGAATGGGCCCATAAACATGGGATCTACGGGTCATATCACACACAGTGTAATCCCAAAGCTGCTGGATAGATAAAATATTGGAATGGTCAGTTAGAGGTGCAGCCGAAGCTCCAGCATGGAGGCAACACACTGCAGTGATTATATTTCCTCCAGGACATCGGAGTATACTCCTTCAGGCAGATAACGCAGGTGTGTCTTCCACAATGGGTGGAAGCATGAGTGGCCCCAGTTAGCATCATTCCAATGACCCAATGGGGAGGAAGAAATTTTCCTCTACCCTTCCAGGTTCTTTTGGCTGGTCAAAAAATTAAATTGACATGAGACATTAACAGAAGAAAATCAAAGTTTAATATCATGTATACATGGGAGAGATGCAGGAAAACTGAGTAAGTCCCCCAAATAGCTGAATCGCTCACCTTAAATACCATCTTCAGCTAAAGACAAAAGAGCATGTTGGGGGTGGTGGTTTGGGACTTCAAAGGGGAAGAAGGCCATTCACACGGAGATGGAAAAGCAAACGTTTGGTAAATAAATGTTTGCTGGGTCAGGCAGAAACAACGGGACACAGAGTGGACTCTGATCTCTAGGCCCTGTTTAGTGTTTCCCCTACCACCTCTAGCCCATATTCTTTGCAGGTATCTCTGGTGATAGCTCTATTTGGGAACAGACCCTCTATCTAAATTTTTTTTAGGCAGTTGTGGGAAGGTCAGAGTTTCTTCCTGAGTCTTTTGGGCCTTGATTATTTTCAGCTGGAAATAATCCACATGCTAAAGTGATATTAGGAGGCAGCAAGTTTTGCTCTCCTACAAATCCACTGAGCTTCCCTGTCCCCACAATTCCGGGTTCTGCGAAATTAGAAGTCTTGGTCCCCAAAAGGGGCACATTCTTGCCTGGGGATACAGCAAATATCCCATTGGATTACACGTTATGGCTGTCACCAGGCACTTTGCCCTCCTAATGCTGAGAGACCAGCAGTAAGACAAGGAATCACTGTCTTATCAGAGGTAATTGACCTGGTCAGCAGGAAGAGGTAGGGCTGCTGTTAGAGGGGGCAGAGAGGAATATGTGTGTATTCCAGGGACCTATTTGTGTGTCAGTTGGTACTCTTGCCCAACTGTGACTGTGAATAGACAAGACAAGAGCAGCAACAGTGGTCTGAGAAGGTGCTTGGACCTCTTAGGAATGAGGGTTTGGGGTGCCCACCCAGGTGATCTACTGAGACCACCTCAGGGTGAGGGGAATTAGAAATGGATAGTGGTACCATCATCGAAAAGTCTAGAAACAACAAATGCTGGGGAGGGTGTGGAGAAGAGGGAGCCCTCCTGCACGGCTGGCGGGGATGTGAACTGGTGCAGCCACTATGGAGAACAGTATGGAGGTTCCTGAGAAAACTACAAATAGAGCTACCATATGATCCAGCAATCACGCTACTGGGTATATACCTGGAAAAGATGAAAGTTCTAATTTGAAAAGATACATGCACCCCAATGTTCTTAGGAACACTATTTACAACAGCCAAGGCATGGAAGCAACCTAAGTGTCCATCAGCAAATGGATAAAGATGTAGTATATACAGTAGGATATTAGCCATAAAAAAGAATGAAATAATGCCATTTGTAGCAACGTGGATGGACCTAGACATTATCATACTAAGTAAAATAAGTCAGAGAAAGACAAATACTATATGATATCACTTATATGTGGAATCTAAAAAATAGTACAAGTGAACTTTTTTACAAAACAGAAATAGACTCACAGACACAGAAAATAAACTTATGGTTACCCAAGGGGAAGGGAAGGGAGGGATAAATCGGGAGTATGAGATTAACAGATGCACACTACTATATATAAAATAGATAAACAACAAGGATTTACTGCATAGCACCGGGAACTATATTCAATACCTTGTAATAAACAACAATAGAGAAGAATCAAAAAAAAAGAATATAGATATATACATATGTATAACCGAATCACTTTTCTGAACACCTGAAATTAATACAATATTGTAAATCAAATATATTTCAATAAAAAAAGAAAAAGAAATGGATGGTTGTGGAGGGAAGTGATGAGGGCCAGTTGTGGTCCTACAACCAGGTGCAATGACAGAAGCCGTAGTTCATTCCATTAACTTCCCTCTTCTAAGTTATTTTTCAGGAAGAGTGGCCCATTGGAGTGCTGAAAAAGCTGTTTCCCAAGTACAGATGGAGAAACAGATCCACATGGCACGAAAGGTGGACTAGAGCGGACACAGGGCGTCACTCAGATTTCCGTTCAAGGCAGGGCTTGCTCCCCAGCTGCAAGGAGTGTGTTTAGCTGAGCGCCTCCAGCTGTAGCTCCTTCAGGATTCACCTCAGTGACTAAGCTGAAGTCAGGCACTGCTCCAGCGGCCCCTGCCAATGAACATCCAAAGCAGTGGTACAAGGGCCTAGGCTTTTCTGCCCGAGGCTAGTCTCTTGCTCCCATCGGGCCAGCGGAGACCTTGTGAGGTCTGCATCGTGGTTTGACAGCCCTCACAGACCAATCCTGCTGCTTCCCCTGACTTTCTCTGGCGTTACACTCCAGGAGATCTGTACTCTCAACTCCATATCAGTGTCTGCTTCCTGGAGAACCCAACCTGTGACAACACAAATTTCCTAAATCTCTGCTTTTTTCCTCTCCACAACCCCTTAAATTGTTTCTCAGGGCCTCAAATTGAGGGGAATTTTAGATCTCTAATCCCAACCACTCTAGCCAAACTGTACTCTTCTCCAACCTCCTTTATACCCCGTTGCAGCACTTAACCACGGATTCCCTTATGTTTTAATGTTTTCTCATGTCTTCCCAAACATAAGCTCCTTAAGTGCAGGGACTATTTCTTAAACTTCTGTATGTTCAGAGTGACTAGCTAAAGTAAGGGCCACACAGAAGATACTGTGGTGAATTTAATTGATTTGATATTGAAAGCCCAGTCCCTGGGAACCTGTCAGACCACAAATCAGGCCAAGTGGATTAAAGGAAACTATAAAGTAATAGCTAGAGGGAACCTAGCTTTCGCTGGTTTTCATACCAAAGTACTGTATTCCTAAGAGACTCTGATCATCATGAATCACCAATCTGAGAATGCCCATTAATCATTTTGAAGAATTTCTAGTTTGACAACTGAATTCTATCATTTAAAAAAAGGTTTATTACTTATCCCATCAATGACCCATTTCACCCGGGAGTGTTGGGAGGAAAACCTTTTGCCTCTTCCAATTTGAGTCCAGTGATTGGGTCCTGCAAATTAACTGACAATAGACAGATTAAAAAGAGAAAAGACAAGATTTATTTTGCATGGGGGGGCAGTTTCCAATAATGGAAACCTCCTGGAAGAGCCTGAAGTAACTGTATACATCTCAATTTAACAAAAGGGGGGTTTTTAGGACTTCAGTGGGAGAGTATGGAAGGTTCTACTGGGCTTTTTGATGCTAATTGCAATGGACATTCTGTCTCCAGGGCAACTGAATTAGCAGGAAACTCCCTTGGAAAGGGTTGAAAGGTAGCTGTATTTTCAGGAGGATTTGCTTTAGTCAGATTAAGAGAAACTCAGATAAAATTTCTTTCTGTATCTTCTGTAGTTCAAATGTTCTCACTTTATACCAACTCTGGGGGTCCAAGTGAGTCCCCACTGAGGGAAAAGGTCTTGTCCGAATATCCAAAGAGAGGAACTTATCTGAAGCCTTGGGATATGTCTAAGCACGCCTTCCCGACTATGACTGATTACTATCAGGGATTAAGCGGTGTCTGGGGCACCTCTGTTAGTGACTATAGACAGGCAAGAATGTGTCAAGAAGTGGTTCTTCAAAGAGCTCATAAGAAGGCAAAAAAGAGGGAGAGCAATAATACTTGTCCTTTGAGAAGGAAGGGTGGTGTGAGAGAAAGTTCACATTGGTCCTGGCCAGGCGGACCACGATCTGGGGCCCAGATTTGGGGAACCTCAGGTTCCCAGGCTCCAGCTTGTAGGCTGTGTTTACTCAGATTACTTCCTCAAGTAGAGTGAGATGACAGTATCTAACTCGTGGAGTTGTAAGATTCACTAATACCGGAGGCAGGGCGCCGGGCTCGGAGCAAGCGCTCACTTGGGTCTGTTCTTTCCGGGAAGGGGTGGGGTAGAGAACCTAGCACTCCTCAAGAAAGCTCCCAAGACTCGCGTCATTCGTCACTTTGGCTGGTTTATAAAAACTGCACCAGAGCCCCGAGATCAGTTTTTAGTTTTGCTTCTTTCCGGAGAAGCCTCTCGGTGCCCAGCTGGGGAACCTGACCCTCGAGGAGCCGTCCGGTGGTCGCCGCGTCGCCGGCAGATTAGCCCGCGCTTGTTCACCCTCTTTCCACTAGGTTACCGTCGCGATTGACTTTAAATCTGACACAGGACGGTGAGATTTGGCCTCTAGACCCAAAGACCAGCGGTTTTCGGTTTACTGGGAAACCGAAACCGCTGGTCTCTGCGAGCGGCGGCGGAGAGCGCACGCTCCCTCGCCCCGGGCGCGCCCAACCCGCGCCCGCCCCCGGGACTCTTAAGTTTCGATTCTCCCTGGAGCAGAGTCCCGCGCCGCGGCCAGGCCAGTACAGCGCGCCATGGCTGACCCGGGGGTATGCAGCTTCATCACCAAAATCCTGTGCGCCCAGGGGGGCCGCATGGCGTTGGAAGCGCTGCTCGACGAGGTGCAGCTCTCCGAGGCGCAGCTCTGCGAGGTGCTGGAAGAGGCCGGGCCCGACCGCTTCGTGGTGTTGGAGACTGGCGGCAAGGACGGGGTCATCCGGTCCGTGGTGGCCACCACTCGAGCCCGGGTCTGCCGTCGCAAGTTCTGCAACAAACCCTGCGGAGACCTGCACCTCTGCAAGCTCAACCTGCTGGGCCGGTGCCACTATTCGCAGTCGGAGCGGTGAGTGCCCTGGGAGGGAGGGGCGTCTCCCCGGTCCCGGTCTGGGAGGACTGTCGCGGCTGCTGCTCCGTGAGGGGCGCGCCCTCGCGGGGACCTCGCACCCGATGACTCTTCCTCCAGCTGCTCACTCCTCTGCTTCCCTTCTTGCTGGGCCCGCGCTTCTGCTCTCGAAGGTTCCCTTACCTCCAGCGCCTTCAGACCTTCCTTCGAATATGGCTAGCGCGCTACTGCCCCGGTGAAGACTACGATTAACTCCCCACCTCCATAAGGATAAAGTACTTTTGGGCAAGCCAGGGCCTAGACAATTTGGATGCAGGTTTGGGAACGAAAGAAAATGCCTCCATTCTCTGGAATCTTGAGTCTTCCCCTCTCTGCTACCTTACCCCCTAGGTATTGTGTGGTCTTCCCAGCCCCCCAGCCGACTCGATCCCGGGATATGTCTCCATCGCTGCGAGCTGCGGGTCTCTGCTTGGCCTTCCTTTCCAAGCGCCTCCTTTCCCCTCATTATCACTTTTCTGATATCTGACTCTAGCCCGCACCACCAAGACCAGAATGGTTCTATTCAAGGTTACCAATGATGGGCCCTCTTCCAGAACTCCTTTCCCGTGGGCCCCGCGGTGGCCTGCACCGCTGACCGCCTACCTTTGGGACCACTTTGAAACAGTGTGCCTTATCTCCCAGGTAGCTGCTTCTGTGTTCCCACTTGTTCTTTTTTTGCTTCCTGCATATAGGTGTGCCCCAAGGTTTCAGTTAAGCCTTTTGATGTACCTGTATTCCAGGTCTCTCCCCGAGAGCCCTCACTTCCTTGGGTTTAGTCGTCACATCTATAAAGATGGCTTCCTTGTGTACATCCGCTGCCCCGGCCTTCCTACTGACTCTAGGTTCTTCATCTCCAGGGGTCTGAGGAGCATCTACACCTGAATATCCTGCCAGGCTTTGTCGAACTCATCTTCTTTCCCCCAGCGCAGGGTCTGTGACACTCCCCCCCAACCCCCAAACTCTTCTTCCTCCTTCATAATACCTTAAAACACCAAGTTCTTTTATTGACCAATCCCGTCCCTTCCCTGTCTGGTTCCTACTTCGCATCTCACTTCTAAATGAATGCCTTGTTGAATTAATGAATGATTTTCTCTGACCATGGTCTTTCTCCCCATCTTTCCTATCCGTATGTACTTTTGCTAAATTATTTTTCTTGATATAGTACTTGTCACACTTCCTCCATCCTTAAAAACTTTAAGTGGTGTCTTAGTGTCCAAAATGGTGGTCATCAAACTTTCCAGCATGCGCTTATGAGCGAAAAACTTTAGATTACTCACTCGCAATACCTGTCTGATAAAACATACAAAAGACAGATGTTTTAAGTGGATGTGGTAGATGAGATAATTTTTTTAAAAAATTTGTTTAGAGCAAAACTAAAATTTTAAAAATATGCCCCATTGTTATTAAAAATAAATATTTATTATGTCGTGAGGCAACAATTTGAAAGTCTATTTCTGAGTTGCAGGAAGTTATGTGTATGGGAGTCATCTAAGTCGGCAAATAAAATCAGGAAGGAGGAAAAGAGGGTAGAGAACAGAAAAAAGGAAGGAACATTATAACACTCTTCCAAATAACAATGGAGATGGAAGACTTTGTTATCATTTCTGTTGTGAAAAATTCTTCACCAGTTAGTGTTGGCTGTTAGTTTTAAATACATAGGCTTCTTATCTTTTAATTTTTTACTATGAATATTTTCAACATACACTAAAGTAAAGAAAAGAGAATGATGAACCCCTATGTGCCCATCGGTTCAACAGTTTTCAAAGTACAGTAAGGCCAGTCTTGGTTCATTTATTCTCCCCTCCCCATCCCTGTCCCTATCTCAAACGTGTTATTTTAAACCAAATGCCAGAGATTATTTGCTTTGTAAATACTTTAGTAGCTCCAAAGATTAAAGACTCTATTTTATTAGTATAACCACAGTACAATGATCACTTTTTTTTACGATTATATTTTCTTTTTATAAATTTATTTATTCATTTATTTATTTTTGGCTGCATTGGGTCTTTGTTGCTGTGCATGGGCTTTCTCTAGTTGTGGCAAGCGGGAGCTACTCTTTGTTGCGGTGCGTGGGCTTCTCATTGCAGTAGCGTCTCTGTTGCGGAGCACCGGCTCTAGGTGCGTGGGCTTCAGTAGTTGTGGCGTGAGGGCTCAGTAGTTGTGGCTCACAGGCTCTAGAGCACAGGCTCAGTAGTTGTGGCATACAGGCTTAGTTGCTCTGCGGCATGTGGGATCTTCCCAGACCCATGCTGCCTGCATTGGCAGGCAGATTCTTAACCACTGTGCCACCAGGGAAGTCCCTATGATTATAATTTTAATATCACATACTATCCAGTTAGTGTTCAAATTTCTCTGATTGCCCTATACTTGGACTTTCATTTTCAGGGAAAAAAACCTACACAGTCATAGTTCATAATGGTTTCAATATGTTATATATTTAATATATTTAGAAACTTTTAATTTGTTACATGCAGTAGGTTTAGAAACTTTAGTTTTATTATTGTTGTTATTAATTTGTTGTTGTTGTTTGCAACTCAAAACCATTTTAAGCTCATAAGCTGGGTAGTTAACCTGCACTTTTTTATATTTTAAAAGAGGAATAATATATTCTATATGAATAATATGGTCTATGCAAGTTTGGGTGGATTCTCTGGAGAATTCGTTAAAGTTATTATTACCTTTTTTTTTTAGTTGAGTGTTAAATTCTTATTTCTTAAATGTATGGGTCCAGTGTTATTTTTAAAATCTTTTTATATAACTTTTGAGTTTGGGAATTACAAATTTTTAATCCATTAATGTACATTGTGTCCTCATAATAAGGACCCTTGGGAGAATTCTTTTTCTTTTGCCTAAAAGCCTAGAAAATATATTTTTTTCCCAGGTACATTTTAAAATATTTTCCCTTTCTTAGCAACTTATAAATCCTCATCTTCTAATACTTGACACGTGGGAGTCTAAGGGCTTTCTTTGTGGATTATAGGTTGGTGGGCGCTGTTGACCAGTTGATACCCATGTTGAGGTTACCATTCAGTTTGGTAACTGTTCTCTGTTTGCATAGGATAGCTTGCCTTTTGCTGGACTTCTGCATTTTCCTCTGTAGTACTATTATTTATAGATGGGCTTTCTCCTATCAGTTCTGCTGTTCCAGTCTTTTCTCTTATGTTGCTTTTATTTTTTAAATTTTTGGCTGTTTTGGGTCTTTGTTGATGCGTGTGGGCCTTCTCTAGTTGCGGGAGCAGGGGCTACTCTTCATTGCGGTGCGTGGGCTTCTCGTTGCGGTGGCTTCTCTTGTTGCGGAGCTTGGGCTCTAGGCGCACGGTCTTCAGTAGCTGTGGCACACAGGCTCAGTAGTTGTGGCTCGCGGGCTCTAGAGCACAGGCTCAGTAGTTGTGGTGCACGGGCTTAGTTGCTCCCCGACATGTGGGATCTTCCCGGACCAGGGCTTGAACCCGTGTCCCCTGCATTGGCAGGCGGATTCTTAACCACTGTACCACCAGGGAAGTCTCTCTGATGTTGCTTTTAACTATACATTTTAGTTGACAGCAGGGCTTGCTTCACTATTGGATAATTAGTTTTGGTCCATCATTTTGGGTATTTCTATTTGCTTTGCTGAAATATACGCCCACACATGGAGTTCTAATCCCAGTTCTGGCACAAATAATAACTACCATTTGTTGAACAAATAACTGTCTACCAAGTACTATGATAAGCACTTTAGAGATGGTATCCAAGTTCATCTCTACTATGATTCCTGAAGTAGGTGTTGTAAGTCCCATCTTTTTTTTTTTTTTTTTTTTAATATTTATTTATTTAATTTATTTATTTGGCTGCCTCGGGTCTCAATTGAGGCATGTGGGCTCTTCGTTGCAGCTCGTGGGCTTCTCTCTAGTTGTGGCGTGACGGCTCTAAAGCATGCGTGGGCTCAGTAGTTGCAGCTCGCGGGCTTAGTTGCCCTGCGGCATGTGGGATCTTAGTTCCCTGACCAGAGATCTAACCCATGTCCCCGTCCCCTGCATTGGAAGGCGGATTCTTTTTTTTTTTTGTGCGCTACGTGGGCCTCTCACTGCTGTGGCCTCTTCCGTTGCGGAGCACACGCTCCGGACGCGCAGGCTCACAGGCCCAGCCACTCCGTGGCATGTGGAATCCTCCCGGACCAGGGCATGAACCCGTGTCCCCTGCATCGGCAGGCGGACTCTCAACCACTGCGCCACCAGGGAAGCCTGGAAGGCGGATTCTTAACCACTGGACCACCAGGGAAGTCCCTAAGCCCCATCTTAATGTAAGGTAACTCAGGCCTAGAGCTGTTTAGAATTTTACCGAAAGTCACATAGCTGATAGCTGGCAAAGTTAGTGTTGAACCGAGATCTGCATGACTTCTTAACTTAGCTACTGGTGTCCTCAAGTAGCTCTATGAAGTGTGATCTTTCATTAATTCAAGGTCAAGATATTGTTTTGCAAGCCTGATTTCTGTTTAACTGTTTAGAGCAGGCTGTCCCTGGCAACTAGCTTTGTGGTTTCTGCTAATGTGGGTGTTTCCTCTGGGTTTTTTCCTGTTTGTATGCCTTTTTCATTTGCATAACTGAAACTTTGGGTGGGGGTGGGTAGATAGGAAGAAAACTAATTGACAATTTCATAAATTGAAAAAAAAACCAACCAAAAAAATGCAAAGAGTAGGGCTTCCCTGGTGGTGCAGTGATTGAGAGTCCGCCTGCCGATGCAGGGGACACGGGTTCGTGCCCCGGTCTGGGAAGATCCCACTTGCAGCGGAGCGGCTAAGCCGGTGAGCCATGGCCGCTGAGCCTGTGCGTCCGGAGCCTGTGCTCCGCAACGGGAGACGCCACAACAGTGAGAGGCCCGCGTACCGCAAAAAAACAAATAAAAAAAAATGCAAAGAGTAGTACAAAAAGCATCAGAGTATATATATTCTGAGTATATAATGAAAGCTATACTATATAAAAGAA